GTCCCTCATGGCCATAGCTGTATTAATTCGATAAAGATTTGGTACGTTCAATCTTGACTTAGGAATTCCAAGGTGGAAGATCTTGACTGATGTAAGTCATTCTAATAGATATAGACAGCCTAAATGTAAATGCCACTGCTACACGAGTCTATTTGACTCTATTCAATTCACTATAACTCTACTTTGTTCACATGGATCGTCATCGTCATAATCTGGAATCCCGACACTCTTTTGCTAAACACGTCTCATCCACTCTATATCCCCGCGATTGGCATGCTCTACTCATTCCTCTCCAGGAAAGCTTCAAAGCTCCTTTGCCACGGCTGTGCATCCGACCCAAGTCCTCGGCCAATAAGAACAATCTTACATTGCTTCTGGCCTTCATCGGATGACGTTGGTTCGGCGTCCCGGATTTCGAATACGTCTCGGACAGCCTGAATAACCCTGCTGGAATCGTCCTTTGTGATTAATATGCCCTTGAGACGGTGAATATCGAAATCAACCGGGTGAGACTCAGGTTGAGATTCCGCAGGTGGCAGGGAGGAGTCCCAAAGGACGGAGCGAAGCCAGGCATCTACGAGTGGGATCTTTTCAGACGGGATGGGAGGCGTTGTTATTGCGATCGTCGAGATAGCCTGGTAAAACTGGTAAGATTCTCGGAGCTAAGGAGAAATAGGATGACTTACCGGGTCAAGATGGCTATGTCCCTTCTCGCCGAAATCAAGACTAGCCAAATGATCGTAGGCATGCAGATCCAACACAACGCCTTCAATCTGGGGTGTCTTGCTGTGATCCGTTACATGGATCTTAGCGACACTGTTGATGGCTTGCACTCGTTCTTGGACTTTTCTGAGTTCCTCTGGAGTAACGAGATCAGACTTATTCAGAATGATCACGTCTGCATGCGAGATTTGCATGTGGGCCATGGATAACACGGGTCCCGAATGGGCATGGTCATGGCCATCGTTTTCGTGACTGGACACAGTCTCCTCGGGAGTGGGCTCATCTAGAAGATGTAAGATATTCTTTGCATCGACAAGAGTAACGATTCCGTCTAGATAGATGGAGCTGCCGAGGTTATCGTCGACCCAGAATACAGGCGCGATGTTGCCAGGGTCGGCAAGACCGGTTGTTTCCAGCAGGATGTAGTCGAACGTCCCTCGGCGCTCCATAAGAGACTCAATAGCCATTACGCCAGAGTCTCTATTTGTCTTTGGTCAGTTGTGTTGTTGTACGGCACGTGAAGAACTTACTTGACTGAGCAGCAGATGCAACCATTGCCGACTTCCATCCACTCGGTGACTTCTTGGCCATCCTGGTTTACCGTCAATGGCTTCTCGATGTCCGTGGCTTGATTACGCATTAGCGTCAGCACTGGGTTTCAGCGGTCTACATATGCTTGCCCGCTATGTGTATCCATGCTATATGACTTACAGTCACCGAACTCTACAATACTCTTAGTGATGATCGCATGACAGATCTAGGAAACCAACCATTCATTATCACGGCGATCTTCTTGCCATGCTTTTCATTCAGGATGTAATTTAACAAGGTAGTCTTTCCTGCGCCAAGATATCCTTGACAAGCTGTCAGCTGGCAGTCCCCTAGAAGTACATGCGTCAAAGTCCTACCGGTTACAAGCGTAATAGGCACCCGACTCTCCGACGGCGCATCTGCCTCTTGCTGTTCCGCATCGGGGATCTGAGAGACATCCACTAGTGCTGGAGGGGCTTCGTCATCGTCTATATCTGCCATGATGAGTAAGATTATGTGGTCGCGCCACGAGATATCCTAAAGTATGGGGAAATACAGTAGATGATCTGATTGACGGAATGACGTTACCTAGAGAGGATTAGCTAGGGCTTAGGGCACTGACTAGTCATGAGCTCCGCCGGCGGTATCTCCGTCTCCGTCCCGTCACTCCTTCCAGAAGCTCCGCTTGGTCTAAGCGCCTCCTCCGTCTCTCCTTAACAACTTGTTTTTCTTTCCTTCATTTTAACTTTCGTTTCGGCTTTCTTTCTAAATACATTCTTTTATTTCACCTTAAACTCTGCAATTGTTCAGACATGGCTGCTGCGGGAGCTTCTCAGGCTAGCTCCCCGCGCTTACCCAGTCCTCCTCCGTTCACAGAAGTTCAGATCGGACCCAAATCGCCGTCGGTCGGCGAGTCGTTTGGTCAGGATGCAGAGCAGCTGATAGGTGCTTCCCATGGAGCTGATGATGGCTCGACTCGGAGAATCCGACCAGGAACCAAGTCTGTTGACATGGCAGTTGGTCCGCCTCTGGTCCCTCTCTCCCAGGTATGTAAACAAAACAGATTGCGCCGCACCTCCGCTAACTGGCGCCTCCCCCAAAGCTCGACTCTTCCTTCCAGCTTCAAGAGCACCTCAAGGCCCTCTATAATCACTACACCCGACCCGAAGGATCTGACACTGTCGTCCCGATCAACAGGGAGGTTGCCATTCAGCTTGCAGAGCCCCCGGAGGGCGTTGACCGGTCGCTTTGGCTTTACGAGCTTTGCCGCTTCCTAACAATGAAAGTAAACAATCTTATCATTGCTTTCTTCGCCGAGAACCCCCCTTGTTCCGCGCAGACATGCCCAGAGATGCGAGCGTCAGAATGGCAGTATCTCTGCGCCGTTCACGATCCGCCTAAATCCTGCTGTGCGATCGATTATTCTTGCCACACCTTGGATTGGGCAACCAACATCCTCACATCACCCAAGTACTTCCCTAGTCGTCTTACCCTAGGCTCGGAGGCAGGCGGTGGGGCTCAGGCGAGCATGAGACATTTGACCAACATCTTCCGTCGCCTCTATCGTATCTTTGCGCACGCCTGGTTTCAACATCGGGAGGTGTTTTGGCAGGTCGAAGGCCACGACGGGCTGTATATCTTTTTCAAGACGGTCTGTGATCTGTACAGCCTGATACCAGAAGACAATTACACTGTTCCAGCTGAGGCGGAGGGTGCCGATCCCGTTCAACCGGCAGAGGAGCCGACGGACGGGCGTCGCATGACGATACTGCGGAAGGAGGGTGAAGGTTCTCTAGCTGCCACACTGCAAGAGCCACCGTCGGCGACCACTCGACGTCACAAGAATAGTCCGTCAACAAGTTCTCGGGTCACAACTGTGCGCGATGTGACGACCATCAGCGAAAGTGCCGAGGATGACGAGCAGCAGCCGAAACAGCAAGAAACCGAAAAGCCTGCAGAACCGGAACAGAAGGAACCAGAGCCTCAGCCACCCGTGGAAGCCGCCAGTGAAGAGCCCAAGGCCTCTAACGAAGAGGCGCCAATCAGTATCACCGAGTCACAAATTACTGTTGCAGAAGTGCAAGATGAGGAAGAGACAGAAGCAGCTCCGCAGGCCGTTGACGCAGATACCGAGAAAACGGAGGAGGAATCAAAGCCTAGCACCGGGGGAAGCGATACGCAGAGAGATGAGTCCGAAACAGCCTCAACCGAGGAGGCCCCGAAATCCGAATCAGAGACAGAGGCAGAGACAAAACAAAGCACCGATGAAGAAGCCCAATCAGTGCCCGAGCCGGCGAAAGAGACGTAAATCTTGCATTCAACTGAACCCTATATTCACTTCCTTCTGATGCCATGCCATGTGTCTATACTACGATTGTAATATGCCTTGCATCACTATCATGCCTGTATTGATGACGTTATCTTTTTTTTTTTTTTACTGCCAAGCTGGATGGGGAAGGTTACTGGTGTGTAATATATGAAATTCGCGTATCCGAATGATTAATGATACCCATTGCCTATATTGAATCGCTAGCTCTTCGTAAACAAATGAGGTGCTGTTCCGTTGGATTAAATGTAGCTGAATAGAACTTGTCCGAGATCCACTCGACCGGCCATAAACAATGACGCCGCCGCTTCTAAACCTCAACACCCTCTGCACTCTCAACGACCACTTCGCAGTCAACTTGCCACTTTTCTTGTCACAGAAACCCCTTATAAACCCATCAACCAGAAACCCCACTTTTACATGCCCATCGAAGACTCCCCTTCCACAATGGCCCTCGCCATTAAAGGACCGATCCACTTCGGTCCCTTCGTCGTCACACCCCAGGTAAGTAAAAGGCCTCCGCCCAGGAACATCCCGATCTCCTCCAAAAAACCCCTAACCGATCCTACTAAAACCAGGTCTTCCACATCACCCCCCTCTCCTTCGCCCTCGTCAACCTCAAACCCATCCTTCCAGGCCACGTCCTCGTCTCCCCGCGCCGCGTCGTCCCCCGCGTCTCCGACCTCACCCCGTCCGAAACAACAGACCTCTTCCTGACCGTGCGCCGTGTGGGCCGCATGGTCGAGCGCGTCTACGGCGCAAGTAGTCTCAACATTGCCGTGCAGGATGGGGTGGAGGCGGGACAGAGCGTGCCGCATGTGCATGCGCATATCATCCCGAGGAAGAAGGCGGATTTGGATGCCCGTGGAGGCACGGATGCGGTTTATGATATGCTAGATGGGGAGGAGGGCGATCTGGGGAGCCATTATCGGCGGAAGAGGACGAGGTTTCCCGCGGTTGATAATGACGAGAGAACGCCGAGGAGTATGGAGGAGATGCAGGCGGAGGCGAGCATGTTGGCTAAGGAGATGGAGGCCGAGGAGGTGGATTGAGTTGGTGGAGTGCTGTGTGTAGTATTCATAGATGCATAGATCTTTTACTTACTCTTATTTGCGTGGATACCCCTGGTTTCTATTTTTCTGTGGGTTCTAAGTTGGTTTGTGATTGAGCTTTACACTGGGTTCTTTCAATGTGTATGTGACAAGACTCATCGAGTGTCGATAATATCTAATCTAATCATGGGCCCATCCAAACGCCTCCACCTGTCTAGTCGTATGCATGATGATGATAATGAGGAAAGAGAAGCAAAGGAAAAATAACCGGAAAGAAATAGGTAGCTCGTAAGGCATCGACACCATTAAACATAACCCGAAAGGAATATTAACCGAAAGAATATCGCCCGTATCAATGATTCATACTCTTATGCCGAAACTCCATTGGCGGCCTTCTTCTTCCAGAAAGCTTCCCGCTCCTGGAGCACCGCCGCCGCCCATTCCTTGATCTCTGGTAGCTGGACACGGGTCGCGACATGGCAGAACTCAGAAAGATCGACCTCGTGGGTACGCTCGTACTCGACCATCTGCAGAAGAAGCTCCATCTTGTCGATGTCATGTACGTACTTGGATTCCAGTGTCTCGTTATCCTCGTACTCCTGGAACACCTTCATGACCTCATCTCCGGTCAACATTCCACCGGGAACACTCCCCAGCAGGTTCTTGGTGATGTAGTTCATCACCTCGGCCTCACGGCGAGCCTTCTCTTCCTTGTTCACGTTGTCCACTGGGGTGATGTCGCCAACCAGCGACTCTGCCATGTCGTGGATGAGAGCCATCTTCATGCAATGGGGCAGGTTGAGTCGTGGGGCGAGCGAAGGCGGGGCGAGCATCGTCATCACTGACATACGGTACATATGGTCCGAGATCGATTCGCCTTCTATGCCGAAGCGGCGCCAGCTTCCCGTTTGGTGGTCTTCAGGCGCTCGAGAAGGTGGAAGAACGGAATCGGGGAAGTAGAGTTCTCCTCCGGAGGGTGAGGAAGAGTAGCCAGCACTGAATCAATCTGTTAGCTTTTGTTTACGGTTTCTGGGCGTTATTGCAGATTCCTCTCACCGGACTGCGTGGTCCAGAGGGGATTGGACGGTGTTTCAGAGCCCATTTTGAAGGTGTTCAAAACGGTATAAAGAAAAAGAAAAAAAATAAAGAAGCAACAATTAAACACGATACACAGAAACAGAGAGGAGAAGGGCCTTATATGCTTGAACGAAAGACTAACTGAGAGGGAGGGGAAAGAAAGGAGCCCAGAAAATTGAGGGGAGATTCTGCGGGGCTGAGGAGGAAAACAAGAAGGCGGTGAAAGGGACCGATAACCAACATGATAAACAATATAAACAAGCACATGATTGGCACTCGATTCGTCCCCGCAAACCACTTTCATTTAATCTCCTCGCGTTCTCCCCACCCACTGCTATTCCAGATCAGTTCTAGCATCTATGATCCGGTTCTTTTAAACGTCATTGTCTATGGCACTACCACCGGTGCGGACTGAGAATCCCTGGTATACAAATCCTTTCTCCTGTTCTTCGTCTTCGGGAGACGTTGTTGACCGCTTCAGTATCTTGCAACCATGCAGTCGGCCCGACCTCCCTCCCGGTCCAAAAGACCGGATTGGACACCGCAACCACCCATAGCTGTCTTTGTCCGGAACCTCCAGCTGCTACAACTAGACTCCCGTGACGACTGGCCGAGCATTACAGTTCGCTCTTTGTCCCCCTCATCGCAAAACCAGCGCCAGCGTGTCAAGGCCATCGAATGGGCACTTTACCAATTAGTGGCACTCTGGGACCCGGAAACCGCTCGGGATGTATGTGCGCTTCAACCTCGCGTGTGTGGCATACCGACTGACAGAATACGCTAGAAACTCCGGCCCTTCTTTCCTCCACTGGAGCCATTGCAGTCAGTCAATCTACGCGCCGCCCTGTTTCGTGTGTTGTCCGAGTTGAAGAAGAATGGGGACTTAGGAAAAGAGGCTATCCTGCGGAAGTCAATGCTCGATGACTGCAAGGGGGAGAAATTTGATGAGCTTCTTGCGGTGTTTTCGACTGCAGTTCTCCGCAAAGCTCTAGCCGCCTCGGCGGATGAAGGACTTGGGACTCCCGCTATGAAGCTGTCAATGGCCTCGGGTTTGACCCAACAAGAATATCAACGCATACTGCCCCTCATTCTTGCGCATCGCGTCTCTTTGAGAGGGGTGGGAGAGCGTCACAGCCGAGTACGGGACACGCATGAGAGTTTCTCGCAATTGTTGGATTACAAAAAGAGTCAACTAGAACTTCAGTCCAAGGAAGAGCGTCCCCAGATTGCGGATGAGGCTGATTTCGATGGATTGGCACAGAAGGTCAAGGCCAATTGTCCGAACAATGCAGGTTGGGCTGATACTCTTCTATATGGAGGTGCCCGCAGTAGCAGCGATGCGTTTCTCGAACTCCCTTTTTCAACAGCATGGTCCAAGGCCAAAGCGTCGACGGTAGAGGACCTTAAGACAAACACTGCTCCGGATCTGTTGATCGACTTGGAGACACGCATCACGAGACAGCGCGCCCGTTTGCAAAGATGGCATCAGTATCGCAGTTCGATGCTGAGACATGAGCGGGCAGAATCAACGAACTCAACAAAGAGCCCTCCCTTGGCGTTCCGGGACCACCAGGCGCTCACTGTCGCCAGCATCGCCAGGGCTGTTCGCGAGCCAGTAGAACGCATTTCCCCTAAGGCGGATGATCGCGCCCTCCTGTTCTCCCTGACGGAAGCACTTGCTCGAATTGAAGGCACGCACCGCTCATCTTCACGAGCCACACCGTTGCATGCCCCTGTAGTCGATGCAGATCGTCGTCTGGCTGGGCATGAATCGTCATCCTCAAGCAATACGTCATCCCCTCGATTGATTCAGCAAGATGCCACCGCCAAGAGCACACCCTCGGGCAGTGTTACATCTGAAGCAGATGATGCTATAGGTCGAGCTAGGTCTCCCTCGCTGCAACTCTCTTCTGATCTGGAATTCAAACCCGCCCAGCGCAAGGAGCGCAACACATATAACCTAATTGAGCGGACCCGGAAATCCATGTCGTTGGTTCCCCCTCCGCCGAGTAACCCACGGCCTAGGGAGAGTCTTCGACCTCGCCGTCCGCGACCCTCCTTCCCCGTGAACCAATTCGAACTGCCGGAGAGACAGACTCCCGAAATCAGCAGAGCATCTACGCCCCGCGATGAACTGTTCGAAGAAGAGGCAGACTACGCCAGTGTTTTCAAATCCCGGCCACGGGTCGCTCATAGCCCTGTTTCTTCGCCGGCAGTACACGTAAGTGCCGTGGAAGATTTCGATCTCGGCATGGACATGGATTCTAGACTGGAGATGAGCGAGGCCTATGGCTTGGATTCGCCCCTGCCTAGACGGCGTAGGTGACTGTCCCGTTACTGATCACCTTGTACAGTTCACTTGAATCTTATACAGCATAGCCATATAGACAGTATACCCCTATAGTCTATCTGATTTATTTGGTCGATTAATAATACATATACACGGATATAACTAAGACAGTGCGCCAGTAAATTGTCATCAATTCCAATATCTCATATCTTTTTTTTAACTCCTACCGTGAATCCGTGTCCGTCCCTAACTCCGTTATTACATAGCTACAAGCATCATTCCCAACAATACAGGATACCAAACACATGGTGTAAGGAAAGATAAAGGGGCATTACCCCTTCCGCGTCGAATTCCGGGTACGTCTCCGTGTAGGAGGAACATACTCAGGCTCTGAATCAGAAAGCTGCTCTTCAGAATCCGCTATCTCCGGCGAAGAAGAGAGTTCCTGGGCGGAGCTAGTATCCGGGATTTCCCGATCCAAGACCCCTGCATCATCCGATTCAGCAGCAGCAGCCTCAAGTTCACGTTCAGGTTGCGTAGGCTGGTGTTGCTCAACAATAAGATCTCCATCATCGCCGTCATCTTCACCAGGAAGAAGGAACCCTCCGCCGCGGTCAACCGGATCTCCCTCCTCTGATGGTTCTCGGACGTAAGGTTCCGGTGTAGTGGCCCGCTGACCTGATTTACGGCTTGTGAATGGGTTATATGCGTCTCGTTCATGGTCGCGGGAAGACTCGCCGTATTCTTCGCGGACACGCTCGGCGATGCGCAGACCGAAGAGGAATTTGCGCCAGGTTTGGAGGATGCGCGCTTCGGCTTTGCGGCGCTCTTTTTCGCGCTTTTCTGCGGCGTCGGCGCGCCAGGCGTCCTTGACTAGGTCTTCGTTTTCTGAGGCGATGACGACGCCTTCGATGACGGGGACGGCCATCTTGGAACCGAATTCGAAGCCCGTGACGGCTTCGGCGTAGTCGATGCCGAGTTTCTTGCAGATGCGCACGGTGCCGGGCCAGGGGATGTGCGTGGCGCCGCGGGGCACCATGCTGGGGACGAAGCAGTCGATGTTGCCGTAGTCGTTTTTGGGGATGATGCCGTCCCGGATGGGTGGCGGGATGATGTATTCTGTTTGGTATTTGGCGTAGAGGCCCTGTTTGGGCTTTTCGCCGGTTTCGCGCTCTAGTTCGTCGACTTCGCGTTTACGGAGGAGCGTTACGGCGCGGATGGGCACTCGTTTTAAGGGCGCTTCGCCTTTCTTGATCTGTCGGCCTTCTTTGTGCCAGCTCTCGGCGGAGAGGCATTTTAGGACGTCTGCTCGTCGGTAGATCTTCTCTTCCTTGGCTTTGGGGCCTTTTCCGCTCACGAAGGTGCGGACGTGCTGGGAGCCTGGTTTCAGGGCTTCTTCGCGGCGGAGGAAGCGTTCTAGGACAAACTCGGTTGAGGCCTTGAGGCTTTGGAGCGTGTCACCTTCCTTGGCTGCCTTTTTCTCGGGTTGATTGGGCACCAGGTCATTCGCATCCTCAAGGTCGTCGACCGCTGTCCGGCTTTTTGCTGAACGCTCGTAGATTCGTAGGATGACACGGAACCAGTTGTACTCATGGAACTTGCCTCTCCGGCCGGGCACGGGGATCTTTTCTACTGGCATTCGATAGCCCTTCGTCTTGCCAGGCCACGTACGACGACGGAGATACCGCGTAGTGACATCTTTTGCCGTCTTGTCGGACGAGTATGCTACCACATAGCAAATCACTTGCTTGGCCTTCTCAGCTTTGGCCCCTCGAGGCTCGAATGCGGCCTGCAGCTCTGGCGTTGTCGCTACAGCATTTGGTAATACCAGCGGGTCAACCGGAATGATCTGATGGGTAATCGGAGACGCAACTTCTGTCCAATAAATTGGAACAGGGAGATCCTTGTCATACCCCTTGGGGTTATTTCTACTGCCCGTTGGTTTCCGGTCAAAGCTGTCATCGGAATCTACATCCATAGCATCCTCAGTTTCCCCAGTCTCAGTTTGGGCTTCTGCCTCAACCTTGGCTTTCTGCGTGTATGTTTCTGCCTTGGTCCAACCGAACCCTAAAGGCTGAAGACTGGCGACGAGTCGAGCTTCGATCGAGAGCGCGCGAAGTAATGCAGTAAACAGCTGAGCACCCAGATCGCGAGACCCTTCCATACGCTCTGCAGCCTGTCGAAACTCATCGATACCGCAGATCCTCTCCCCAAATCTCTCAGGATCGTGTTCTTCCTTGTTAAAGGCGGATATGTCAGCCTCGAGGTGGGACATGGGCCGATAGCCACGTTTTCGTAGCCCCGGGGCGGTGATTTTGAATTGTTTCTTCCAGAATGCAGCCAGGACCTTGAGTAATGTGATAATGGGATCTCCACGGCTCATATCCGGCTGACCAGGTTCCATCCGCGACGAGCCCTCGCCCCAGTCTCTCTCCGATTTGCGACGCTGCTTCCCTTTCTTCTTCTTGGTAGTCTCTTCCGGGGGCTTTTCGGGAAGCTCCAAACCAGACGACACTTTCCATTTTTTGACCTCTTTATGAAGGGCGTCAGGTAGCTTGCGACGTAGAATATCGTGGACCTGGGGGTCATTTGCCCAAGCATTTCGGAGAGCGTTGTGGTGGAGCAAGAACTGGACGTGCAGGCAGTGGGTAAGGACCCGGATTTGGCGTTCGATTTTGGATGGAGCTTTCTTCCCGTCGATAATATCGGACAGATGAACCTCGTTTTTGTCGAGAGTCAACTCTAGATCCTGGACGTGGGCGGGTGTCATCGAAGGAGTAGTCGCTGTGGCGGTGGTAGCCTTCGATTCGATTGCATCTTCCCAATCCACTTCGTCATCATCCGATTCTGACTCGTCGCTAAGCTCATCTTTGGTTTCCTGGTCCTGAACAGCAGCTTCACTAGGAACATCGCTTAATGGGGAGTCTGATTCGTCATCGAGAGCGGCGATGTCGACACTGGGAGCAGCTGTCGCATTGTGGCGTTTGGCACTGGGCGGATCCGCGGAGGAGAGTCGCTTGCGGGGGACGAAGGGGGGCATACGAAGAATTCAGGGGGGATTATCTAGAGAAGAGAGTGACAGACGAGGGCGAAACGAGCGAGTTGGACGAACCGAGGACGATGAAAGATTGTATGTAATTTCACAAGAGTTGCGGAGTTGTCCGCGATAACGATAAGTCAGTCAGCCGAGGATTTATGATTTAAATCAATTGAATCTAGATTCCCCGGAACTATTTCCCCGCCTTTTTACTCTCGTCATTCCTCTTCTTTCTGTACTCATTTCCGGGTTTCCTCTTGAGACTATTTAGTCACTATCTTACTGTTCTTCCCTCTCTTTTATTTCCTCAATCACAGTCAATATGGAGGCAGTCAAACGTTTCTTCTCCTCCCCGCGCTTTGCAGTTGCGGGCGCAAGTAACGACAGCAACAAGTTTGGTTACAAGAGTAGGCATATGAACCCCCAAGCTCTAACCGATCACTAAGTAACGATATACTGATGGATTAGTCCTCGCATGGTATCACCAGCATTCCCTCCCTGTCACTCCTCTCAATCCTCGCGCACCGCAGATTGAACTGCCCTCTCGTGCCTACGATACGGTCGCATCGCCCAGCGCCTTGCCTACACCTTCGCAAACATCCTTGTCGGTTGTGACCCCGCCAGCGATCACTCTGCCATTGCTCCAGGAGGCTCATTCAGTGGGAATTCCGGCCGTGTGGTTGCAGCCCGGAACGTTTGATGATGCCGTCCTGGAGTTCGCCCACAAGCACTTTCCGGCAGTGATCGCAGGCGATGGGGGAGCGGGAAGTGAGGGTTGGTGTGTTTTGGTGGACGGCGAAGAAGGATTGGAGGCTGCAGGAGTGCAGTGGGCGAGCCAAAAGCTGTAGGGCGATCAAGAGGATCTATCCCGAGGAAGCGGTGTATATAGTATAGTATAGGTCTCGCCACCAGTGAATCTCATCGTCTCTCGACATGAAACTAAGGTAGATTCGTAGTTCTAGTCGCCTTCTTAGAAGTAGCGGTGGACCAATAAGCCTTGGGTCACTGCAAGAGCTCACATGTCCTGCTGAATGGATAGAATCCATTGGCCATGGCGCATGAACCAAGCGATGTTCGACGACACCGGAAAAATAAGAGGCTTGGAAAAAAGGGTAATTAGTGGCTTAGGGAGTGAATCATTGGCAACCGTGAAAGGTTTTGTTGCTGCGGTGAGACAAGTTAATGGATGCCAAAATCGAGCTAATTAATCCCGCCCCCCGTATTTTCATCGTTTCTTCATGGACTAAATTCTTTGCTCTCTTTTCCCTCTCCCACGCCTGCCTTTCTTCTGTATACTCTCCTCAACCACTCTTTTTCTACATTCAACCCTCCCAGTAAATTAACAAAAAAGGGAAAGGAGAAAAAAAAAGTTACTATACGTTTGTCACAAGGGGAAAGAGATGCCCACCACTTCCTTCGTTCTCGACTCGCCCATCCCTCCCCAACTTGATCTTGCTGGTGCTCCCTCGCAGCTCTTCCTGCCGCCGAATCCCTCCGCCTCGTCGGCCCTTTTTCGCTCCATCGCCATCCCCAGCCGCAAGAGAGTGCGGGGAGTGGAGTCCGGACATCGCTCGTGGCTCGATTCTCCATCCAGTCCCACCTCGTTCGCTGTCGCCGATGATCGTCTCGCCGGAGTAGACGACGTCTCCGCCGAGCATGACTACCGACCCAGTCGCTATCGAGACCCGCCGCTGAACCTCCCCCTGGATTCCAGCGTTGAGTCGCTCAGCGATGCATCCGGGGCTCGTCGCAAGCGCAGCCGTCGAGATCCGTCATCGGTAGTGGCACCATCCCCGTCGGGACCGGAGGATGAGAAAATCACTCAGGACGACGACTACTATCCTCAAACCGCCCCCGTGCGCTGGAGCCGCGCGGTTTTGGACGTGGTAGGAAAGGTCTGGGACTTTTGCTGGTCGGGAGCCTTCCGCGGGTTCTACGCCGGTGGTGGTCGTGGGTATTCGATGACGGCTGGTGATCCGTCGGTATCGCTGGGCCCTGACGACCACTCGTGGCAGCCAACGACGGAAAAACATGATCTGTCCTCCCCATCTGCCGGGACTCATAGTTGGAGTGAGTCGACTCTTTCGGGCGATCACATCGATGACGACCTGCATCACAACTGGGTTGTGGTGGGCCACGATGAGTTCGGCTATGAGGCAAGTCCATCGGCCCGGAGGCGAGTCCACCGTAGGACGTCCTCGTATGGCCATTTGCGTCGACGACAGCCGGTGAAGCGGACCTTCGTGTCGCAACCAGCGTCGATAACGACCAAGTCGCACTTCTCCGCGCCGGCGAAGCCGCGTGAGACCCCTGTGTCGGTGGAGACGCAGCGTTACATGGCCCAGAAGCGTCGCATGGAGCGCGAGGAAGATGCGAGCCTGGCCCGCTTGAATCGACAGCTGCAGGCCATGATCAAGGAAGGGCAACAGGCGTTGGGAACCAGAGTGGAAGTGGACGACTTCTTGGAGGATTAGGATCGGTGTTGCTACTTTAATTTTCTCACCAAGGGATACCCCACACAATCGTTTAATGTTTGATTTTCAAAAGGACCGCATTAGGGCCTTTCTCGTTCCTGAGGGCATGTTGGTATGGAACTTTATTCGACGAAGACTCGACCTGTTACGATACGATGCAATGTTTTTATTATAGTGATGTTAGCCATAACCATGAATTACGAAGCATGAAGAATGACAGTCATTGTGTTGACCGCGTCTGAACAAAAGTGTTGATCTTGACCCGGCGTATACATGAATGAGATTAAAAATTGTATATATGAGACCCCATCTCCCTAGTTACCGCGTGTTCGGCTCCGTGCCAGCAATATGGACACTCTTCTGCAATGTCGTGACCACACTGGTGAGGCCCTCCTTACTCGTCAAGTCTTTAAGATCGTTAAACTCGAGTCGGGGCTGGATCTGGTTCGGCTGCATCTATACCCCATTAGCATGTCAACATTCAACCACGTCCCCAAGCGGGCAACCCAGGATCCAGCTAACTCGAACGAAAAGAAAAAAAAAAAAGGAAACATACAGGAGCCGGCATAGCCATCGAAGCCGCAAGGAAGAGAGAAAGGACGGCAACGGAGAGCTTCATTGTGAACGAGTCTGGTCAAAGAATCTACCACGGCTTGTTAGCGCAACCCATTCAAGAGACAGCGAATGTGGGGGAGATGCCATACGTTTTGGTACCCAGAGATTGCAGTCGATATGGGACACAAGAGTTTCAGGGAGCAGGAAGATCAGGCCTTTGGGAGGGATTTGGGAGTGTTTTCCGCTCATATACTCCGTGATTGTTGTCTCATCCCTTCATTCCTTGTTTATGTCTCGCGTCGTTTGTTGGTATGCGGGAACGGGAGTATTTTGGGTTGACGGGGAGGCGTCTTTTGGGGCTCTTTTACTGCTGTGAGTTTTTCTTTATCTTGAAATTTATTGTTTGGAGGGTTGTGATTGTTTTAGGATGTGAGTTGAGTGTTGTATTACAATCTATATTACTGATCATGGAGCTCGACATGTCGACATTTAGTAGGAAAGCTGTAGTGGGTTCATTGGGAATATAGGGAATCCAGGTTCCAGAGTGATGCACTCCTGGGAATGTCGATAATGTGCCACTCTCGGCTTGATTGTCTATGGCAGGTTTCGTGCTGCATTAGAATACCTCGTGATGTTTATTGAAGGTGGCAGGCATACTGGACGATCATTGGCCAATCATAGCGCCGTCCGGCAACATCGGCACAAAGCTTGGCCTGGAGATCCACAGCACTAGTGTCGAGTTTTCACGGTGGATAAGCCAACCCAAATGGTCAAAGGAACAAAAATTTCTGGTTCTCTGAGCCAGAAATGCAAAAACAGATGACCGACGCAGGGATCGAACCTGCAATCTCTTGATTCGTAGTCAAGCGCCTTGCCATTGGGCCAGCCGGCCAATTGTTGAGATACTGCTCTCTTAACAGTTATATAATGTATAGCTATCTTATGTGTTCAGCTTGTTCCCCAGTATGGTCTATATTCTATAAGCGGGGAATCCCTGTCGGTAATAGAAGCTGGTTGCTTAGAGAATCCTATCTGGGTCGAGTATTCATTACAGGTGAAGTGGCTCTGCTATATCGGAGGTTAAGGCAGAGAGGTAAATGTTGAATCTCGACAACACAGGCCATAACCATGGGTTTTCTTAAACCAAGAGGTAGGGGTTGTGTTTATACTGAGTATTGGGGCGACGGTAGTAAAGGCCTGAGGCAATCAGATGCAGTTGCCTGGAGACGGCTTTATGGCGTACATAGCCAGCCAATCAAGCGGTTGACTTCTATACGATGGAACTATATAATAGCGGAGCGATAATCTATCATGGATCACTTTGGTAAGACCGTCATGAAGACCAAGGCCAAGTTCTCGTTAATTTGAATATTTCCTTTATCCCGATTGCTCTGAACCCTGTTACTATGGAAGATCATTGCTTTCGAATTGACGACGTTGCGCCCTAGCTCAGTCGATTCCTCCAAGACTTGACAGGGGCAAATCTCTAGCCTATCTATAAAAAAGCCATTAACAGTCCGTTCTAAATCTCCATTTCATGTATTCCTACTGAAATATTGACTTCTGATAACGATGTACCGCGCTCTGGTCACCTTCCTGTCTTTATATATATCGACCGTGGCAGGTGGAAGGATCTTGTCCACAACATATACCAACAAGGTGCTAGTTCTCCGCTCCTATCCATTTTTTGTCCGATTGAACGTCGAGTATAATTGTCGCTGCGCACGGAGCGCTCACTATATGCACGTCTACTTTGCCCCACAGTAGCACTGGTGACTGAGGATCCAATGAACAAAACCTCTTCCCCCGCCTCATCAGAAAAGCCCTTGACTTCCTACGATCCGAATGAATCTGTGCCGGGCAGTGGGCACCTCGTGCGCCAAATCACTGATGTAACCATCAATACATCACACTCATTGCTCAGACCTCCGCCTACCAAATATGTTACATAACAGATGGATACCCTCCGACCCAGTTGAAGCCATAGGAAATGGCCTTGTGGCTGTGATCAACATAGCTGAAAGGCACAATCCCGATCTGATAGTCCAATCATCAATTCCGGAAAAGTTCGCCCAGGCACACTAGTCTAGGCGATCAGGTCTTTCAGACCTGCACTGCTGAGCTGTCTGACGGGCTGCGCTAGTTCAAATTCATAGCCCAATGACCCTGCGCCTTGAAATACGATGCAACGAAAGACAACACACAACGTCATGACAATTGGAAAACTGCTCACCAACATCGCTCTTCTCCCCACCACCGTAACTGCACGAGTCGAGCTGAAAAAAAGATCCAATCCAATAGGAAAATCCACTATGGTGGGCAGATGCAGAGGGAGTGGCGAGCTGAACATAGGACTATTGATCCCCGTCTGTCCGGCTTGAACCAGCACAAGAGTATAGCAGTGCGCGGTGTCGACTCGGCATTTCACGGCTAAAAGAATATGGAAATGGATATATAAACGCCATCATCTCCCCTCCATGACCAACTCAACACTCCAGTCTCTCAAGCAAATCCATCAACCCATCTCCTCTCACGCTCAAACGCACCTCGTTTATATTTCCCTACATCTTTTCTCAACATGCCCAACACTCTTGGTAACGGTGAATGGCTTGAAGTTGGCCAGAGCCTATGGAGTCAAAATGGCGAGACTGAGCTGAAAATGCAAGAGGATGGCAAGATCGCGGTTTACGTGAACGGCGAATGTGTATTCCAGAACACAGACGAGCAGAGGTACGATGTCAAGGGTATCCATATGCAACCCGATGGGAATCTTGTTATGTAGTAAGTTTACCTTTCCCCTTGTGTTCAACTTTCCTTCCGCCTTTTTTCAAGACATCGAGTTTGATTGTAAAGCCCTTCCCGGTTAACTTCTATCTAGCGATAACAACAACACACCCCTCTGGCACACCGATTCCACCGGGTCATCGGACCCCAGCTCAGTTGTCTGTGCTGTGCAGAACGATGGTAACGTCGTTCTGTACACTGGCCAGGCCATCTGGGCCACCAACACCGGAAGATAGCCTTAGCCTCGACGTTAGACTGTCCAAATTGATGGTCAAAGTGCAAGGGTTTAGATGATATGGCAGCAAGAAGACTTGGTTGAAGAAGAGACAGATTCTTGGCTAGGAGGTCTTACTCACTCGTTGCTTTGTGTATATAAGAACGCAAATGAACGCTTGAACTCCGTTGAGTCCTTTGAGATTTGTAGGTCGAGTTCTCCAGATCGTTGCTACGTAGTTAAAAGTGAGCACGGCTGAATCTAGTATAAATCTGACATAGTAACATCAATCCTTAGCGCCGGGTCCAATATAATTCCCATCAAGAGACCTTCGAGCACAGGACGTAGGTCAACGAAAGATCGGCAAAGTGGCTCAATCATGCTCACAGCACCACACGCATTATCGTGGCCACCTGCCCGCAGACATCCGGCATGGATTTGCGGTATTTCCATAGAAATAACTTTAATTATATAAATCCATAGATATATGTAAGGCACCTAATCTAGGGCTTAGGCGAATTTTACCAGAAGACCACACTCGTGGACCCTAGAACCTCCTAAGTAGCGCACTGGATAGTCTAAGTTCACCGCGTGCCTTACAAGATAACTATTCGTTTGCTAATATCCATATATATACTATAAGCTAGGTCGAAATCTATTCTGTGCATTCTCGATTCCTGTATATTCTTTGTTTTCCAGCAGTCGCGGATTAACGCTATATAATAGATAGAAAGAGGTGGATTTAGGATACTGTATGATACTGGATATACTTCTAGATAATCTTTATATGACCGAAATATACAGCAGTATCTACCTTCACTGAGCCTGATAGCTTTATAGACTGTCTCTTCACTTGGCATGGTCACACATCTGTGTGACTTACTTGTCTTGACTATTCCATTCCATTTATTACCCCTCGCTTTGCTCTTTTCACTCCAAATCTGATCTGACTCATTATATATTTTGTCCAATCTATTGACTCTTTTTGCAAGTTAAACGAATCAATACCATCTGTAAACGTCATGTCAGCACTGTTGTCACCAGGTGATGCTTTAGCCCTCGAGAATTTCGAGCCCCTAATGGAAAAGCTAGTTGATCAACATCACCGCCAGTTCGCGAACGCCCTTTCGCTGTCCATTTCGTGGGAGGATGACAACACCAATGCCTGTACGGATCTTGCCAACTTTCAGGCTATCCTCCGTCTGTTTGACTACCCAAAGGCGGAAGAATACGTGATACCAGTCGACGCAGATGCGCCTGGGTGGGACGTTTCCGATAAGATTCGGGGCCTTATCTGCCAGGCCATGATAATGACTGGGCGAACTATCATTTTGATTCACTATGGTGGCCATGGATTGAACTGGAATGATGAATTACACTTCTGTAATTCCACAGGAAGAAAGCTTTTTCAACGTGAATAGAAACATGTTGGATCTAGTGGACTCCAAGCCCGTCGTAACCGATTCCCACAACATTGATATCGTATTTATCTTCGACTCCTGCTATAGCTATCTGGTGACTAGGGAGTATACTTGTCATGAAAGAGTCGTCGAGATACTTGCAGCCGTTGATGAGGATAGCAGACTCGCATTTTTTCTCGGGCCTTCAGGCCTCGTTTACAAGCAAACTGTATACAGAGATCCTCAGAAGAAAGCAATCAGGAGCCAAAGATGTTGAGCTCGCTGAGCTGATAGCGTATCTTCGCAGAAAATCTCCCGTAAAGAAGCCCGCACATCGCCTTCTCGTCGGCGCCAATTCTTTACGTCTTTCCATCAGTGGAGATACTGAACGGAGTCGATTATATGATTTATCCGAAGGGGCCCAGTATATGTACCCCCGGGGCCAGCGACGTACGCTGTGTTTTCATTCAGATTGGCAAAAAGCCTCTCTATCGACCAAATAGCAGACTTCTGTGACTGGATCTTGAAGCTGCCCAGAGAGATTGGGCTAAAATTAGAAGCCGCCTACGAGACACAGTCCATGACTTTGATCTTCAGGCACCATACGCCTTTTGGTTGAAGCTCACTGGGTACAAATTTGTTCAACTTATATGCGAGGCCAAATCGGAGGATCTTCTTCTGAGCATCCCCACCCTATCGAGTCCCTGGTCCCACAAGGAGAATTATCATCCAACCCCAAAGCATACGGGGTCTTAGAATCAGTGATGAACGGGATGTCTTAGTTAGGGCATTATTAATCTTCGATCTTGAAATCACAGCCTACGCTTACCACGCATAAACGCCCAACCACCCGAAGATGGCCATTAGCGCTACCTGGAAATTCTTTGATTTATTCTACCGGAGAGGAAATAGCTCAAGAATTGACCAATACTAAACTGGCAAAACACCAATATCAGCCACGATAGCCAATAGACCTCGAATATTGCCCACATTGCTTCCGATAATTTAGTGTATACAAAACGTCCTTCAGTTTCTGGCGCATTTTTTTGGTGCACGCCACCACACGATTCTGACCCAAAATCTAATTCTAGACCAATTTAAGTATTCCAAGCAGTTTAAGCAGTATAAATTATCCGAACTGCCTGAACTGCCTGAACTGCCTGAACTGCCTGAACTGCTGGAACTGCTGGAACTGTTTGACTGATCTGCCCAATCTGTCTGATCTACCTGAAATACTTCAATCTATATACTTTATAAACTTGAACTGAGTTGTCTGATCTGCCAGACCTGCCTAAAATGCCTGAACTGATATAGATACTTGAAATGCGTAAACTATTTAATTATTATAACTGCTTAAGTCGCACAATTAATCTCCTGCGCAACGTGTCTTTCCATTATTTTGTGAATTGTAAGATTCACCGCTTTTGTTGTTATCGTAGCCAATACTAGCTTATAAACCAGGGTCCATATCAGATAGCAAACTCGCATTTTCCCCGGGCCTTCTTTTACAGGCAAGCTACATGCAAAGATCCTCAGAAGAAAACAGTTCGGAGCCAAGGATGTTGAGCTTGCTGGGCTGATAGTATGTCTTCGCAAAGAATCTCCTGTGAAGAAGAAGAAGAAGAAGAAGAAGAAGAAGAAGAAGAAGAAGAAGAAGAAGCCTGCGCATCATCTTCTTGTTGGAGTCAATTCTTTACGTCTTTCCATCTCAGAAAATACTGGAGGGAGCCCGAGTACGCCAACCCCGACATCACGTCCACCACGTATCAAGCATCTAACTGAGGTCTCTAGTACTACTACTACTACTACTACTACTACTACTACTACTACTACTACTACTACCAAAGTCTTTGATCAATCCTACCGGAGAGGAAAGAGCTTAAGAATCGACTAATAGTCAAGCCGACAAAATACCAATATCAACCATGTTTGGCCAACAGACCCTCGACCATTGCCCACATGGCTTCGAATAATGGGTAGCCCTACTCGCAGGGCAGTAACCAGGGAAAGGTTACCATGAAACTCCATGATGTCCTGCAAAGACCCCGACCTATGAGATGACGCGGACTGCATCAATCGTGCGAGATATGCACTGGATGCGAAGATATACTCTTGGTGGGAGAAGTAGCACAACATTGTGCATGGGATATCCCCATTTAACAAGGGTACAAAGGACAGCTGTACATGTCTCGCGGAATGCATAAAAGACTTGAGATATCACACACATGCAAACAAGGAGGGGAGATGATGATAGGGTGTATGCAAGCAGTCCTTGTTTTGAAAGGCCAATAATATGATACTCATTAAGTCTGCACGTTGCTCCACAGTAAAACTCATCCATCCCTTTAATGGGGTCGCTAATCCAGCCACTGCCGAATATGGAACCCAGCCACCGACGTAATGATTTACTATTTCATACATGGCTACATGTCAGAACCGGTTCGCCAAGCATGTCATCCGAGCTTAACTTAGCGGGAAGTATAAGCTTACTTTCCACTCTGTACCGGAGGAGACTCAATGATCGGGGATTGTATTGGCGGGCTAGTGTTAGATTGTCCGAGTTCTCAAGTGAGCAGTTTATGTTACAGGTATGTGATGGTCAGATTGGGAAGGGTACCCACATTCCAGAGACATCTGTGAACTATTGGGATCTGCATGTTTTATTGGATCCACCAAGCATACAAGAGTACCTATCATAGTAGTATATGGATAAGGTAATATTGTTTCATGCAGTTTGTTAGAGACTTGCCATGTAATGATATTGCGATAGTATGTACTGTGAAGTCTCAGGAGGAAGCCAGACAAAAAATCAAATCGCTTCAGTCGCTCAGATGTTGTATCAATGTATGAAAAAGCAACCCCATAACAAGTAAAGTAAGATCAAGAACATCGCTAAACACAACCTCGGTCTAATCCCGAAAGCAAACGCTCTATATCATGTCACATCAAAATGAACGCCAATTATATGCAATAAAAGCTCATAGTAATAACCAAAGAAGTCAAAGTCACATGCGGCAAAGAAAAGAAGTTAGGTCATCTTTGGCATGAATTTGGGGTTGGTCCGGATGCTTTCCCCATATTTCAGTAAGAAGAACGATGTCGGTGCAAAGGCAAGCGCAATAAAACCAAGGAGGGTGTTTCCCCAGCCTAGGCCCAGTGTTTCGTACAAGGGCGTACCGGCTAAAGGGATAGTGGCACCAAAAACGCATCGCAAGGCCAGCTCAGCGGAGACAGCACTAGCGGCGTAGAGGGTATATGAATCAACAAGATACACCTGAGTAACGAGGTGTACATAGAAGATCCCTGTACCAATGAAGAAAGTCCCAATAATGGGGACGATCCAATGAAGCTTATACTGTGCAGACCAGCCGTACCAGAACAGGCCAATCGGGACTAGAAAACATCCAAGAACAAGAGGTGGAAGGCGGTGCTCTGGTTTCATCTGGCCGTGGATCTTTTCTTGCTTTTTGACATGTCGATCAGAGTAGTAGCCCACTGTGATCTGTCCGACGCAAAAGCCCATCCCAAGGCCCAGATATCCAAGGCCTGCCTGACCTGGGCTGAAACCGTAGACGTTCTCGAAGACGTCGGTGAAGGTAGTGAAAAGAATGTACATATAGCTGTAAGTGACGGCGCTGTAAAGGGATACGATCAAGACAATAGGCGACAGAAAGAGGAATTTGATTGGTCGAGTCAGCGATGTCAAAAGCATCTGGCTAGCTGTGCGTTCAGAGTCAAACTTGGTGTAATAGTGCTGCCCAGTAGCCTTCTGGAGACTGATTGCTTTGCGTCGTAGTATCGTTGGCGCATACGTCTCACGGAGGAATATCAACGATGCAATAACAACGAGGCCTCCCTACACAGTATTAGTTTTGCTGTATTTGAGCGCGAGTATAGGAACAGTAACTTACCAGTATTGCCTCAAGCCACACAGTCCATCGCCATCCCACATTCTCCACCATGTAGCCTCCGAATATAGGACCGATTACAAAGCCCTATAGTCAGGGTTAGCAACATTAGACAAAGGACAAACCAATGATTAGTTATACGTACAAGCAAGGGTCCCACGGTCCATATTGTCATTGCAGTTCCCCGTTTTTCCATAGGAATCATGTCAGCAACAAACCCTCCTCCAACTGTTACCGGCACTGAGCTGGCAATTCCCATGATTAGTCGAGAAACAATGAGCATGGAAATATTGACGCTGGATGCGCAGACTATTGCCGCGATCATGAAGAGGATATTCGCTCCGTGTGTCACTGGTAATCTTCCACTCATTTCCGTAATTGGTGTAAGTACAAGAGGCCCCACTGCTGATCCCATCACGTAGATAGAGACCATGAGAGATGCAAGAGAAGAGTTGTCAATATGGAACTCCTTCAGAACTTCCGGGACACCGGGAGCAAAAATGGTGGAGACCAGAGACCTAACAGTTGTTAGTATACCCGCCGTAGAGCTTTAAGAATTCAAAAGGAGCCAGACATACGTATTGAAGCTGCTCACTGATATCAGGCCAATAATGAGCCATTTCCGAGCATCGGACCAGTTCATGGGATTCCGAGGGTCGTCGGGGCCATCCCAGTGGACAAGACTGTCAAGCTCATCTTGGGACTGTTCACCGGCCTCAACGTCGCGGCACTCAACCCTCACACGAGCGTTTTCTTTTTCGACAAAGGACCCCAGACACTCCAGGCTAGATTCAGGGCTGGGTTCGACCGAGCTGTCAGGACCACCGGAAGACTGCGTCGACATGACGATCACGAAGGGAATAGGAATAGTAAGATCCTTGGGGATGAAATGAATAGAATCGACATTAACAAGCGGGCCATCATGGTCTTCTAAATATCTTAAGTGGACACAAGCAAATGTAATATTGGAGTCATTTCATCGGAGATGACCACCATGATGCTACCCTGATTTTGGACTGAACGCGCGTCCATACAGTCGGACAATTCTTGGTATGCCGGACCCTTGCTGTCTAGCCGGCCAGGGCTCCAGTGCTCTGTACAGCTTGAAACGCCTGGACCATGATACATGGTGGGTACGTACATACAATTAAAAATATCAGGCGCACAGCACGGGTAGGGAACAAGCAAAAAGGGTGGCGTTTCCACAGGAATCCCTTGCATGGATCGGCTCTATTCCAGCTCTGCCTCAGACAATGCCAATTAGCTGGGCCTATCAACACATGATCCACATAGGTTATGCTTAGGACACCTAATGATCCCCACATGATGTATTGCGGCGTCTGGGTACTCAGGTATCCCTTTCGAGATATCCCACAGTTACTTAGCTGCCCAGGCATGTGGCTCTATAGTGTTACCCACCTGGAACTTGCTCACTATGAATGTTGACGTGTCTTGAGTGGAGGATGAAGGGTCGAAACCAGCCATGGCAGGAGCTTGGTGGAACTAGAATATGATAACGGTAGGGAGAATGAGCCCTATTTGGAATTGGGATCCGTGTCCGGGGGACCTACCCGATGGATCAGTTTGTAGATCAGAAAAATTTTCGGGACCCCTTGAGGTGTTCATGGTAGGAGTCACCGCTATAGAGTTGGGGGGTTGACCCATCATGTGGAGATAGGAGACGGGGCTAGAAGGGTCTGTCTGTTATGTGTTCGATGTAAGAAGCGACACAGAATTGATTCTAAATTCGAATCATGCGGAGAATTTACAAAAATTTCCATGTCCAGGACCTATGGCGTGATGGGACATGGTTGCTATGATGTGATATTGAGACGAAGATAACATGAAGTATGCAGATCCGTGTTCCAAGAAATGCCTGAGGACGTTGACTAAAGCGGCAATGATCCGCCGGTACCTTGCCTTCCCGCGGGAGATCCTCAGGCGCCCCTCCCTCAATGCCCTACCCTACCCGTTGTCAATCCCAGCCGCATCGTTGACTTTCTTTCTCTTCTTGATCCATTCTTCATCCTTTCATTGATGGAATCGCTGGCTTTCCTCCGACAAGCATTGCGCCATCGAATCATACTACATCTCAAATGGCCTATCCTAGATTCTAGATTTGACACATGAAGAGGATCTTCAGAACTATTACTAACACTTAAGCCAATAAATGAGTTGGATCTGCAGGAGAAGCTACCTCAAAATCAAGGCCATCCGAGAAGCTTAACCAACCGTTAAGCTTTGGTGGGTAACCGAATCTTCGAGCCCGCTTGGCCGTTCCTTGGGACTCCGTGTGAGCTCTTAAAAGTTGACCTTCGAAGTCTGGTTCCTGGAGATGTACCCAGAATGGAAATCCGCCACAGCCGATCTATCGGGCCTAGGGAGCTTGTCCCTCGGGCTACAATTAGAAACAAACCTCCACATGTTGAAACTGACCGCTGACTACGGCCAACGCGCGTTCGGCATTGCGCACATGTTGCGAATTTTCGGTAAACTGGAAGGATGTCCGAACAATTTCGACAGCTCATCGGGAATTTTTTACCCAGAATAGAGAACGACCCATAAAATACACCAGAGTGTTCGTGGGCTTTTGCCCATTCTCGTTTGTTAACTCATATTAGCACTCCACTCACCTAGCCACCTGAATCCTACTCTAGGTGCGAGAGAACTCATCTTCACAACATCCAAGAACTTTTCTCGTCGCATTTCCGATGTCGGCACAATATCTCCGCATGCGCTGGCGCACATAGGAGCAGATATACACAACCCGCTTGAACTAGGCAGACCCTACTGACCTCCTATTGGTTTTAGCATTGGCTTTTGGCGTTCTGACAATGGCCAAACAAAATTCCCTCATCCCATGATCAGCGTGGCGGTGTACTGTTTCTCTACCTCTCATTGAGTTCAGCGGGCATTGTTGAAGCATACTTTTGATGCAGGCTACCTTATTCTTGCTACGCTTCGCGAGAGCCTGAATGTTAGGCATGTGAGATTAAGTTAATAGTTGAGTTTCCCTTGTTTCCGCCAAAACCGCTGACTCAAAAACCCCCCTCTACTCGGATTTCCTCAGCAGTAGCGTTTTGAAAGAACCATTGGTATTTCTTGGCTTGATGTTGACCAAGAGATCGGCGCTTCCTTCCACAAACCCGCCAGTATCCTTTTCGCATCCTATGAATAATAATTGTTTATCAGTGCCATCATTTTTCCTCTCCTGCATAATATTCTCTGATCTGCTTGCAAACATCCCAGATCCTCTTCCGGTTGACAAGCCCAGGAATATAGGTCCATGTCCCTTCCTTATACTGAGACTTTTGAAAAGATCCAGGAGCGTCAGGGAGAGTCGAGACACCGACTCCCTAGAGTGAAACGTGCCAGTATCCTGGAGCTCTCAGAGCCAAGGCATATCAGCTTGCAGTACTTTTTTCAAAAGATTGCTTGAAAGCACGGTGGCATTCATCAATGGCAATGCAGCTTTAGTGGCAAGTATGGACGCAACGGAAATACGCTTGAATATCTCTAGTCGGGTTTCGGGCGGGACCTTTTAAGATTAGACTGGGCTTGCCATAGTCCAGTTTTAACCTGGTGCATTGCTCACACTCCAGCTCCTCAAGCACGCCGCATAAGCTGGCTCGGTCGAAGGTTGTATTACTGTTTTAAGTAATGCACCTCCTGAGTATCTCCTGGTAGCAGATCCGATGGACAGGCCACGCAACTGGTTAATCTCAAGATTTGCAATCGTAGTACCTACGAACAATGAGCACTGACAACGACAGAAACCAGAAACATACACAGGAGTGTGGCCCCGTAGGAGCATCTGAGTTGGGGGAGTCGGGAGGGAGTGTATATCATCTATTCGCAATCAGACGCGTCGATTCCCCAAACACACAACCCGAGACATTACCAGGTAGCTATCCTCTCCCGGGGAAACATGTACACATATCTAAGGTATTATCATCAGTTATATTATAGCTATTGGCAATCTGAGCTTGCGCCCTGAACTCTAATTGGTCGACAAAAAATGGGACTAAAAAGTGCCTGTCTGAGGGGCAAGGCTGTAGAGACATAGAAGCTATCTTGCTCGAATATAAGATTCCTGGTATCTCATTACATGCCTATATTGAATTTTGTCTCGTCTGCAACCTTCTCGGATATCAAGTCGTTTCATAATAAACATGCAGCAACGCATGCGCTTCGATGATGTTGCTTGGGCCATTCCGTTGTTGAATTAAATATCAGTTCAAACAATGCAAAGTATTAGCAGGTTCGCATCTTTCTCGTCAGTCTTCTGGATTGAACCATGAAGAGAATATACAGTTGACTGTTCAAGCACCAAAGTACAACTATTCGTAAGCAGCAGGCTTTACAATACACGGCTTGGACAAAAACAAGCTATGGTAGGGTACGGTGGGACATTCTTTTGACGATATCAGATCTGTATATGCGATTATGTGTCTAGAAGTTTTTTAATCTCTGGGGCGTATTGTAATACTACTCTTTTATCTGCAGGGTGTTATACCTTACATTCCTAAACCTGATTTTCTAACAAACTGAGTATCACAAATCAATTAAATCTATAAGCATATAATCCATTAATTATCATACTCCAAGCCAGACTCCTTTCGAATCGCCCCATAAACACCCGCAACATCACCCTTCACGCCCTTCTCCTTCTTCACCTCCTGCAAATACGTATCAGTAACCTCTACACTCCTCAATCTCATCCCCGCATCCTGCGCAATACTAGTCGCATGACCCAGATCCTTCCTAGCCAAGTCGACCGCAAACAACGGCTCGTCACGCTTGTGGTAATCGCCTTCGACCATGCGATCCGCATACTTCGCGAACGGCCCACCCAGCCACGTGTGGATCCATTTCTGGTACATGTCGGCACCGAGGCCGGATTTCTCTGCCAGCACGAGCCCCTCCGCGACGGTCTCAACGGTGTTGAGGATGAAAGTGTTTCCTAGGATCTTGAGCTGGGAGGCACGGCCGACGTCGTCGCCGGGCAAGGGGAGGGTAGCCTTTGCCGTGACGCCCTCGAAGAACGGCTGCAGTCTGTCGATTGCTTCTTGCTTTCCGGCCGGGACAACAATCATCTGGCCTGCGTCGGCCATGTTGGGGGCGCCGAAGACGGGGCAGGCGACGAAGGTGGCGCCGCGCTCGAGGAGGGTGGCGTGGATGCGGCGGGAGGTGTTGGGGTGGACAGTGGAGCAGTCGACAATGAGTTTGGAGGTGAGATCCAAGGAGGAGTCGGAGACGATGGTGTTGATGATCTGGTCGAGGGCTTGGTCATCGCCGACGCAGATGAAGGTGATTGTAGCCTGTTGCACGGCTTCGGGGATGGTGGTGGCGACGGTGGCTTTGTTGGACCCAATTGACTCGGCAAAAGCGGTGGCTCTGGATGTTGTGCGGTTGTAGAGGATTATGGGCGTGGTCTGGGGGCCTTTCAGGGCGATGTTGCGGCTCATACCCTGTGGGATGTTAGTATCTCTTGGAGAAATATTGATATTAATTGATATGATGTATATATATATCTACACGGGGAGGTAGTTACTTACCCGGCCGATGTTGCCCAGGCCGAGCCATGCTACTCTTTCTGAAGCCATTGTGTCAATGTGAGATTTGTTTTGCTGGATTGAATTGGATAGGAGAATGATAGAGCATCAATGGAAGGGCTGTGGGGAATTTATAGAACGAGAGGATCTACAGAGGAGACTGCGTCATGCGGGGCATTTCGGGGGTTCGGCGTCACGTTTCCTTCCTAAAATCTTAGCCGGCGTGGGGATTCGGAGCTAATTCTACACTCGCAGTCTGGACCTTTGGAAGTCTTGCCTGTCGCAATGGAGTTGACTGGGTATAGAAGTGCGATATGCCTGTTGTCGAGGGCGCAATGGAAGAGGACATGCATAATAGATTACCAATCCTCTGCCTTGAACGAACGGACCAATTCCGCTGTCCAATTGACGCCGAGCAAATAAATACATCTCCACCGATAGAGACAACAAGAATGAGTCAATTCGTACACACTTGCGTTCTTTCCTTCACCGGCGCATTTTCGTGTTGCACGGCTCTGTAAGCAACGAAATAATCTTCTCACATGCGATGACTCGTCCATCTTTTGGCCCCAGTTTAGCTGCAATAGTTTTCGCCCGGTGTCGCATCGACTCGCTCGCGGCACCTGCCAGCACCCGAATCAGAGCCTGCCCCAATTCCGGTCCATTGACGACTGGCGCAGTCTTGCGACTTGCCCAAATCCCAATGCCTAGCCATTCTGCACGCATGGCGAAATCGTAGGTGTCAAGCCAGACGGGAAGGATGACCTGTGGCACGCCAGCCCTAAAACAAAAAAAGCTGTCAGAAACTGGAAATACCCTCATTCAGCTGAAGAGTTTACAGCTGGAATATACTGACCGTATCGCTTCATGATAAGAATTGGACCCCCCATGGTGAACCATGCATTCTACATGGCCACTCGTGAGAATGCAAACAGGCTCTACTGCCAACCACGGCTCAACGCGAACTTGTCCCTCTGCGACGGCCGTACGAAGATTGTCGGGCATGATGTCCTCGAGAGTTGTACCGGAGCTTGGCTTGATTTTCCATAGGATTTGGACATCCGGCCTCTTATCCAGGAGCATGCGGAATCCCGCCATGAGCTCTTTCAAAACATCAATCGTATACGTGACATGTGACCCCAGGTTCACCAGCACTGTTGGCCGTCGTCCGAGCCAAGAAGCCAGCTCTGGATCCTCCTCGGCAGCCGGAGCATAAGGGCGCAGTATGGGACCACACAGTGTGAAGCTGTCGGGAAAGTAGCAAGGAATTTCAGTCTCTTGTCTGGCCGGGAGGAGAACTACAGTCTTGTCCTTGCTCAGCTGTTCCGGGATGTGTGCAGAGGTTACACTCGACAGCCCGTGCGCCTCACGATATTCCGCGAGCTCTCGGGCTCTTGGATTGCCCAAAAGGGTTAATAGCAGCCGAATGGCAAGATATGCGTTTGGAAGAATCAGGTACCAAGGTAAGGGATAAGGGAAACCAGAAGACATCCTGAATGATTAGTCAAGATACACAGAGCAAGGGGGCCGAGTGTAGATAGACTATGTTTCTCACATTGGGAGCTTCCACAGGTTCTCCAACCTCGGCTGTCTCGTCAGTTCCTTAAATGTGTTTGGAGACAAGGCCACATAGCGCTGTTCTAGCATGCGACACGCATCAACTGCCTGTAAGAAGAGTGGATCAAGTACAACAATGGCTGGCTGGAGCGTGCGCATGAGGCTACAGCAGTCTTGGTATATGGCCATATACTGCGGGCCATCCCACGGGGTTGCCACTGCAGGCAGGACGTGCTTGTATGTGTCTAGGGCTGCTCGGAATCCGACATTATGAACGTGAAATGAATCGGTACGTATATCGAACCAAGCATTGGCCTCTATCATGGGAGGGCCAGTGATTGGATGGAAAGTGGCACGATTTGTCACTGATGACAGGTATGCCGCACGAGCATTGAGCTTGGAGACAGCGGGCTCTAAAGGAGCAAACGAGCCAATATGGACATCATAAGAGCGAATGAGAAACTCATGGGCCACAGCTAAACTGACGGTTGCCTGGCCCAGCTCACTAAATGTCAGAAAGAGAATGGCTGATGGTGCCATAACGCTAGTGTGTGATGGAGTAAAGAAGATCAGCAATGAAGGACTAGCCAAAAGATGAAGACAAAAGATGAAGAGAAGTGAAGTGCCCAAGGTCGGCCGGGGACTAGCAGTGAGAGGAATTGAAGGAGCAATACGAGAAGAAGCCTATCCGTTGGACATAATTTCCTTCTACGAATACAATGCGAGAATTTCTTTTCAAACAGATACTTAGGAGTATAAGAACCGACATAATCTGCAGAATATGTATGAATAGTCAGCAGACCTCTTTTTGTGTAATCATTCCAATGCAATTCCTAGTGCAATCCGCCATGGTTCAGTGAATATTGCTCTGAATCAAATGAATTTATTAATATTAGAGGTATTTCTATTAGCTAAATGAACATGGATGTGTGGCACCAGTGGAGAATCAGGCCAAGGTATATGCATACATGCCCCCGTCCGCTGTTCTCCATCTATTGTATGTAGGTATAGTATGACTTTAGACACGAAGGGCTTGCCCCCCTCCTTTTCACCGCTTGTAATCAGTAACTGTGCATACGTTCCACAAGGAGGATGTAGTTTCACTTCCTGCATGACAACTTCACCCCGGGAACGGAAGCGGTACTATCCGTCTGTGTCGAGTAACGAAGCGCTTGTCTTGGGTGTATAGAGCTCGCCGTTCCATAGGCCATAGGCCCTGAAGCTTGGCAACCAATATCTTTCGTGGATTAACCAAGGAAGCAGATCGTAAGCGATTGCTGGTGTGGCACCTGGTATAATCAGGCGATCGACCAGGCCAATTGTGAGGCATCAGAAGCCTCCGAGAAGAGATTAATGGATGCAGCTGTCCCATCTAGTCCTTTCGTCCGCGACCACTAATAGCCGAATTGCGGGTATTGACACGGTCAATGTCGTAGGGGTTTTCCTCGTACTGTGTCGCAGTGCGGCCCAAAGAGTGTCCGGATTTCCTAGACGCCCGAGAACCTCGTCGATCAAGTGCAACCTGGGATGGAATGGTGGAGAGGCTGTCGGAATCATCGCTGTCACTGGTTATATAGATAGACTCAGCTTTCTCAGCCACAGTCGCTTTCTCTTGAGTTGGCTCTTGACGCGGGGGCTCGTTCTGCTTGGCTGCGAGGCGCTGCATGAATGCCTCGGCCTCAGCAGCGTAAACACAGTGCTTGCGAATCCGGGCCCCGTAAATATAGATCAAAATAGGGAATGGTATACACGCGACGGCCAAGAAAGCGGGAATGGAAGAGGCCCAGTGAATGCCTAGGTTGCGATACATATAGGTGGTGAATAGAGGAAAGGCGAAGCCGAATAGAGACCGAAGAGCCGAGTTAGCTGCAAGGACTGATGCTGAATAGATCGTGTAGGCATCGATCAGATAGTTGAAGACACTGAGGAAGACCAGGACTAGTCCAAACCCAAACGGTACGCCCGCAGCCACGGGGGCCATCCAGTGGATAGTTGGATAGTTCGTCCACGCGAACCAGAAAAGGCCGATGGGCAGGGCAATTCCTCCAACAATGCTTGGGGGAAGACGAACCTCGGGTGCAAGACGACCCGTGGTTTGCTCGCATAGCTTAGCATAACGGAAATTGTCGGGAAAGGTGCAAGCGACTGCGATGATCATCCCTACTAGAATGCCCATGAAAGCCAAGCCTCCAATACCCTCACTCCAGCCACGGACTTCCTGGAACACGATCGGATAGGCCGCAAACAACATGTACAGCGTTCCATATATGATAGCCATATAGATACAGAACAGAAGCACAATCGGCTCCTTAAAGAGCAGAAGCCATGGGCGGGAGAGGGCCGTAGTCAAGGTTTTGGTCAACGTCGCTCTACCTCGTTCGATATCCAGTTTACTGCGGTAGACCTGACCACTTAGTTCGGAAAGTTTCTCAGCTCGGCGACGCAGCAGAACTGGAGCATAGGTCTCTGGCAGTAAGGAGCACATGGACAGCCATACAACACCTGCTAACGCGGCTAGAAAGCCTTCCACCCAGCGCCAGCCCGCGGCAGAGCCAAGGAACCCTCCAATTACCGGACCAAATGTAGGACCGCAGAGCGGTGCTGCAGCGAAGAGACTGATTGCAATGCCACGCTTTGACGCCGGGAACATATCTGCAATCGTACCTCCTGCATTTCCGAAAGGTGATGATCCGAAAAATCCTGCGAGAAAACGTAGAATAATAAGGGTTTGAATGTTCTGAGCTCCAGCAGCCCCCGCATTGAAAGCAGTGAGGAGAAAGAATGTGCTCGTGAAAATATGTCGACGGCCAAAGGTCTCACTCATTGGTGCCCAGATCAACGGTCCAAAGGCAAATCCCAAGACAAAGAGGGAGATCCCGAGGATAGCAACTTCCTGTTCACAGTCAAAATCCTTGACAATCTGGCCCATGCCACCCGAGTATGCAGAGGAAACCAAAGCAACAGTCAGGGTGACAAAGGAGACTAAGATAGTATAGGACCATTTCCGGACCTCGCTGAAGTCCATCGGGTTACGCGGGTCGTTGGGGATCCAGCTGACAACATAAGGGTCATCTTCAGTTCCTGATCCAGCATAAGGATAATTAACCACTTCAGGTGTAACAACCTTTTGGTCGAGGATTAAACGCCAGTAGGGTATCTTGGAGGATAAAGACACCTCGCCGCCCCCGGCTAGACCAGCCATGCTCGTTGTGGTACTATATATCCTGATCAGTTAGTTATTGATGCTTAATGCCCATTCCAGCCTCAGTTTGTCCCTCCAAAGACAGGCATGTGCCATGGGATCGACATAGCGATGGACCCACCTTATGTTTATTTTATACTGCGTAGAGGAACGTTTGCGAAACAGTGTCACGCTATCAGCTGTGTTATGCTTCGTATGGTCCTAAAACTTGAATAGAGAAGTGTAGATCATAGGAATCCAATGTCATGGGGCACCCCTATAGTTAAAAGGATAAGATTAGTGCCATATTGCTAATACGAGAATATGAGGACACAATATGGAGACAAAAGAAAAAAAAATAATAAAAATAAAAAAAATTTTGAAACGTAAGCAGGGAAAAAAAATCTTGAATTTCCTAGGACAGCAACCGAGATATGCCTCGGTTATACCTATAGAAATATAGTAGTAACCTGCGTTGCATAAAACCACGTACTAATTTCACAACGTGTCATTGCATTCGGTTAACGCCACAAAATGTTCCTTTTTTCAATATCCTTTCGAGTTTTAGATGCAGATCCCTAAAACCTTGAATAGGATGGCATATATACCCGTTCAAACATGTCTCCAGCCCTTCAAAATTCGAGGGTAGAACCACAAATAAACCGCCGCCACAGTCAAACAAGACTTCGGCCCGACTGTTCCTGGCACTACTGGCGACAAGCTCGCTTGGCCAAGTGGAGCACCAGCTGGAGATTTGACAAACGACAGCACTGATTGACCTACGGAGTATATACTTCAAATTCATAATACTACGCATAAAGACACGTAGTATGGATTTTCGCATATCTTGAGCACTATCCAGATAACCCCCACATTTTAACACGACAACGATGAATGGACGAGTCGGCAAAGTCGGCATTCCGTGCCGACAAAGTGGATCCACGTAGTGGAGAAACTAAGCGAGACAACTTCAACGCCTCCGGAAGAAGATGCCGAACTACTACCAGGCAACATTGCCGATGTTGCATGTTTAATGTAGCATTTGATATATTGCTTTGTGTCACTGAGTGTAATTGCCTCAGCTTTGTTAATTTCTTGTCCCATAGGTGTTTTTATGATATTGTCTCAGAAGCTATCATTCATGAGCGTCATCGGAACTGGTTGTCAGGCAACTGTTTATAAAGTAATCACCTTAGTATGTACTAAGGTGTACTAATGCTCAGGAGAGAATGTACACCGTATAGATCGCTCTTGAGAATTGGTAAAGGCTTGGATCAGGAGCTTAAAAAGACTCGGTGAGTTGATCGAGGTCCTTGCGAAGGGCTACAATATTGTGCAAACGTGTATGCACATACATTGATTGAGTATACACACGGGGTAGGAGGCATCAAGATACGCCAGAAGTTCAAGAGATATGGTAAAGAAACCCTTTCAACAAGACTTACCCAAAGACAGATAATTGAACATTGTAAAGCATTGAAGCTGTAATCCGACAGAAGGCCTAGAATGGTGTACAATCTATCCACGGCTCCGTGTGAAGCTCACAACTTTGGGGAAGCTGTGCTCCAACGACTTCTCCAGTGTCATAAAGAGACGAGTAGTCCGGACATGCAATTCTAGTATTAGAAAAGATTAAAATGAAGGATATATTAGCGGTCTTGATGCACGGAAGACGTACCTTCTATAGTCAATTCATAGCTAGCAGATTGATCCTCTTCACGATAAGAAAGGACTGGACCACCCCAATCCCTGTCCAAATATTCGTCCATTAGATCCTTCTCCTTGACCCGCACCTTAAGTCCAACGTTCTTGCTTTGACCCACCCAAACCATCTGATAGGGAGCCTCGCTGGTCGACGAATAGGCAGTATTATCGGATGCTTCCGACCCAGGAGAGGACCCCAAAGATTGACCGGAATGTTTCGCATGGTTCCTTAGCCAGTCTCTGAACAACCTGATAACACCGTTTTCAACAGTCACTGCACCCAGGGGGAAATTACTCCCCCACATCACTTCCACTACATTCACGGCTATACATACTTGGATGAAGTTTTCAAACGCCTCCAGATGAATAGGAAGTGTCACGACTGAACTGTCCGCTTGCTCCTGGTTGACTGTCGGCACGATCAGCATTGACCCGCACAACCCGTTTCCCTGTAGATGCCCTACCCGCTGATGGAAACCGCCTTCCTCCGCCGATTCTCCCCATTCCTACCACACAAGGCCGAAATCTAGAATAGAGGGAACCGAGTCTTCCTAGCTGCTGTGGTGTATCAACATTCTCGTATAATGAGCCCTCCCCTTCGTACTGGTTGTTCAAACCATCTGTGCCGAGGTATTTGCAAAAAATGTGAGGCTCGATAGTGTACGAGCTCCGATTTAAACAGTCGAGCATAAGGTTGTATTCGCTCAGTGATACAGATACAAGAACTCGGTAGTGCAGGATCCGCAATATTAAAGCATAGAACCGGCGGGAAACCGTCGTCAAGGGGAGAAGGCAGGGGGTTGGCAATGGGGTTAGGATCTGAACGAGCACCTGAACGTCATTTGATAAGGCTTAGCTCAGAGGTAAATTGATGCAAGCCCAATCATACCTCATTTGGAAGGGAATAGAGGTGGAGCCTGGAGCGACTAGTGGCCATGCTTCGCGATAAAACGTGGGCTGCTACGCATTTGCCGGTATCGGTTCCATTAGAGAGGTGGGACAACCAATCATGACCGATATAATGGGATGAATGACCTTGAAGCGCTAAGGTTAACGGTCAATGTGATGTAGAAGTGAGTACCCTTGGAAACTTCCCCAGATATTGCTGATAAGCCATGTCGATAAGAGTCCACCAGTTGCCCCTCGTTTCGTGGGACCAGCCAATCGGGTCCTGACGTCAGCATAGATGCAATGCTGGGACTTTATTACTAAAATACTCTCAATCCTTAGTCGGCCCGGTTCATTTCACGCAGGACACTCGGGCAGCCGGTGAGAAGCTCGGCTAGCCAAGACAAAACGGCTAATATCAGCCCCGTTTGCTACGGAATACGGGCGGGAGAAGTGCGCTAGGAAAGAGCACCCCACTCGGCGTTTTTCAGCCACCAATCTGATTCAATGCGGATAATTAGTAGGTGTTGTAGGTAACTAGAGCAAATATCCCGTAGTTGACGTTGTTCCTGCATAGATGGAAGACAGCCACGAGAGTTGAACGATCTGCCCCTGTAAGGCAGATCGATGGTAGTGGAGAAAGAATGTGGTCAATTCAATGCGTTGCAGATCCCGATGGAAACTGTGCTGTAGACAAGGCTGAGGCCATTGTTATTTACCCGAACAGACGTCATGCCGAGTTTTTATATTGATTCCCCGTGGTGGTCTCGGTGTGTTCGGTACCGAAAGGGCCTCATTTAATTTTCCGGAGACCCCGCGAAACAGACCATGTGCCCCGCCGCCGTCGCTTTATCTTTTCTGACCTTCGCTCCTGCCTCCTGCCTCCCCTCTTTTCTTCTTTTCTTCTTGTAGCTTGTCTCTCCCCCATCGCACAGCATCCGCGCACTGTTCGCAATCAACCATGGTCGAAAACGTCCTTGATGATATCTCCCATCGGAGGTATAACCCACTCCGCGGTTCTTCTATCTTAGTGTCCCCTCACAGAACTAAGCGTCCTTGGCAGTAAGTCTCGAGAGAAAAATTTCCTTGATTTTTAGGCGTATTGGCTGCCCTCGACCAAAAGAGGAATAAACAAACCTGAAGTTCTAGAGAGCTAAACTTCCGTTGTAAACAGAGGAGCTCAAGAAAGTCCTTCCAAGACAACTCTGCCCACCTATGATCCTGCTTGCTATCTGTGCCCAGGCAACAAGCGTGCGCAAGGAGATGCGAACCCCAAGTACGAAAAGACTTTCGTTTTCGTGAACGACTACAGCGCTGTCAAGGAGGAGCAAGCGCCATATAGCCCGGACAATGCAGACGGTGCGTTCTCATATAAGCTAGAGCAGAAGGCGTAGGTCTATGTCACAGCGCTAACGTGTACACGATCGACTTTAGATCTGGAATCTTTCTTCCTGAAGGCAGAGCCTGTCACTGGCAAATGCTACGTGCTCACCTTCTCCGCGGCCCACAACCTCACCCTGGCAGATCTGTCTCCAGCCGAGATTGCTCCCGTCATTGACGCCTGGACTGAGATCTACAGTGCACATCTGTCACCTAAGTCACCGCTGGCTGCTCTTGCCCCTGCGACCACCCTCCCTCCCAACTCCCCCACCGCTGATCTGGCCAAGCCCAAGGAGCAATATCGGTATATGCAGATTTTCGAGAATAAGGGCGCGGCATGGGGTGCTCGAACCCTCACCCCCATGGACAAGTCTGGACCACCAGCTCGCTACCTGAAGAGCCAGCGATGGAGCTGGAACAACTTAAGAAATACCGCAAGGAGCACGGAGGCAAACACATGTTGGAAGATTATGCGGCTCTCGAAAGCCAGAAGAAGGAGCGTGTGGTGTTCGAGAACGACGCATTCCTGGTCGTCTGCCCCTGGTGGGGAGTTTGGCCATTCGAGACAATGATTGTTAGCAAACAACACAAGCGTGCGCTCGTTGACCTAAACGCCAACGAGAAGGCACAGTTGGCCGAAGCCATCGCGGAGGTCACTAGACGCTACGATAATTTGTTCGAGACGCACTTCCCATACAGCATGGGTATCCACCAGGCACCACTCGATGGGACTGAAGAGGAGATTGAGTCTTCGTATCTGCACTTGCACTTCTATCCTCCGTTGTTGCGCAGCGCAACTGTGCGGAAGTTTTTGGTTGGGTAAGTTATAGACCCTACGTATTCGCTCTCATCAGGTGGCTGATTGATTTCTAGTTATGAAATGATGGGCGAGCCTCAGCGAGACATCACCCCTGAGCAAGCGGCGGCAAGATTAAGGAATTGTGGTGGAGAGCTGTATAGGAAGAAGTTGGACGGGTAAGATATCACAAACAGAGTAGAGTAGAATGATCTCGTATTCTGAATGAGTCACGGTACACAGAAAGAACTTTTGTTAGCCATGGGTATCTAGTTGATTTTTTTTATTTCCCCTTCCTAACACCAGGACTGCATTGCATGCAAGCTTCATGCGATTGACCAGGATCTCAAGTAGAGAGAAAGAGAGGCGGAAATACATGTAAAGAATTAAGCAGAGAGGTAGTGCTCCCTCTGGGTCACCATCCAAGCCAGAGTCGACGACGCAACGATAAGAGGGCTCACGAAACGTCCCTTGAGTTGGGCACTACCGAAACCCAGCCACTCGCCAACAAAGTGTACCAAGGCGATTCCAAAAGTCCAGATAGCGAGGTCATATGCCACAGGAGTCGTGATGTTGTAAGCTGCGTACATTCGGATCACAGCGGAGAGGAAAGTCCAGGTGCCAAAAGTGCGAGAGGATAAGGGGTTGGTTAGCGGACGACCATCAGCAGATCGTCCATTGTAAAGCTCCGCGGTGTAGGAGTCCGACCGGTACGCCTGAAGGCTGTTCGCCGAAGAGACTACCGAGACCTAGAAAGAGTTCAAACTTAACATGATGCCTGTGTGTGGATGAAGCGATTAAAGGAATTGTGAATAGGAGACGTACCAGGAAAAGCCACTTGGGCAGAAAGCCCTCGAAAGGAGGCAAGTAAGAGAGAATAGCAGCCATTGCTTATTGGATGGTGTGCTGTGGCGCGGGTAGTATCGAGTGATTGACGGAGCTTGCTTTTAGTTGGAGCGATCTGTGATGCTAGCTGAGACCTATAGCAAGCAGTAGCTTGGGGAAGGCGCACAAGCAATGGTTGGGGGCCGAGGTTCTTGTCTTGGCACAACAACTCTCATCCTGCTAACGTTCCTCCGATCTCCGCGTCGGCCGTGAATCTCTCCCTCAAAAACCAACCCTTACTTCGATTGTTGGACCTCAATTCGTCTCATTCACGGGGAAAAGGCGCCAATCATGGATTTCCTGTCGAAATATACGACTTGCCTGTCTAACGTGGAGCTTAACCTTGCTCCCGGATGGCAGGCTGTCAGCGCGTATTTCCTTCTTGCAGCAGGAAGCTTGTTTGTCGCCTCTAGGGCTTTGACCTTTGTCAGAGTTCTTGCCAGCCTGTTTGTTCTTCCTGGAAAATCGGTGAGTCGTGGTTCAATTCTGGATAGAAAGACCTCAAAACCACTAACTTTTGATGTGCCAGCTTCGCTCTTTCGGCCCCAAGGGTAGCTGGGCCGTTGTCACAGGTGCCTCCGATGGATTGGGCAAGGAGTTCTCGCTTCAACTTGCTCGTGCTGGCTTCAATATCGTCCTCGTCTCCCGTACTGCCTCGAAGCTGACTGCGTTGTCCGAGGAGATCACCTCCAAGTACGCCTCCGTTCAGACCAAAACCCTGGCCATGGACTTTGCTCGCAACGAAGATAGCGACTATGACAAGCTGAAGACCCTAGTGGATGAGCTGGACGTAGCCATTCTAGTAAACAATGTTGGAAAGAGCCATGACATCCCCACGCCGTTTGCATTGACTTCTCAGGAGGAGATGACGGACATCATAACCATCAACTGTATGGGAACCTTGCGTGCTACTCAGTTGATCGTGCCGGGCATGATGCAGCGCAAGCGTGGTTTGATCTTGACAATGGGATCCTTTGGTGGCCTTCTCCCTACCCCTCTTCTTGCCACTTACTCTGGTAGCAAGGCCTTCCTGCAGCAGTGGTCGACGGCTCTCGGCTCGGAACTTGAGCAGCACGGTATCACTGTTGAGCTCGTACAGGCATATCTCATCACTTCTGCTATGTCAAAGATTCGCCGGGCCAGTGCTACGATCCCCGATCCCCGGTCGTTTGTCAAGTCGGTGTTGTCCAAGATTGGACGCAATGGCGGATCTCCATTCTATGCTTACAGCTCGTCGCCCTACTGGAGCCATGGATTGATGGCCTACTTCTTGACCTGCATCGCCGGAACCATGGGGAAGTTCGTTACTGCCCAGAATCGGGGAATGCACGAGTCCATTCGGAAGCGAGCTCTGCGCAAGGCCGAGCGCGAAAAGGCGAAGAAGAGCACTTAAGCAAAGGTATCTGCCGTGCTTGAACTTTGTTGCTGCAGAGACTCGCAGTATATCGTGTGATTGATACGGCAGGGAGGGCAGCATGATGACATGAATTTCAGTGTTTATTTGGTTAATCCGTTGTTTGAACAAGATTGGGCGCTGTATGATCTTGGGTGAAGACACTGCAAAAAAAGGCATCGTTTTATTACGCTAGTAGAAGTTTAATCGACGTCAGAAAGACAATCTATTTCATTGGAGGTGATTATTATTGATAGTGTTCATGATTAGGTCACTAGGTGTTAGGTTGGCTGCCGGACAGTTCCTCGGTCTACAAGAAGTAATGCGGTATATAACTTTCTAGCTTCTACATTTTATACCCAGTGAGCAGCAGTACAGCCTCTACATTCTACATCAGACCAATACTTCCCTCTCAGTATTGTGATATGAGGTGCCAATGTGAATGTGGAGAGTGCTCGATAGAAACAACTATATATGCCGCTCGCAGGGTTACAGTGACTAGCATATTATATGTATCGTTTCAACACCACGGCGATCCTTATGTCCACCTTAATAGCTTCAACTGCCAATCGCTAGCTCCATAAGCTGACAAGAACATGCTCTTTTCTACCGCATCCCGGAGAGAGGAATGTAAGGGTGCATCGATCGAGGCAGATGTTTCGTCTGAACGCCATTCTGAACACCTCACAGGATATCTGGATCGGTTCAGTGGAAGGGTTTAGGTAGTACTAATAAATTAGATAGGTCACATTGGCCGAACATAGTGTTGAAAGCCTTGGGTAGCCTGAGGTAGCGGGGTTCTGATCACATTGTCTAGTATACACAGAACGTCTAAGGTGCCTGAGTCCACCATGGAATAGACTATATTTTCTAGGCCCTGGGTTCGAAGGCCCTGGCAGTCGCATTTATGGTATTTCCGGTTGCAATGACCTTTGTCAAAGCTTCTTCCATTGCTCTGGAACCTTAATTCAAGTGTACGTTGGTGCTATCGGAATCAATAACCAGGTTATCACCTGTGCTAGCTCGAAAATGAGTATATTCCACTGGTCACAAATCAGCCATTCTTAGTATCATCCCGGGTGGCGAGGAAGAGCTCAGAGGCCAAGTATTAATCAGAGGCGAATATGATCACCATGCCATGGACGGCAGTTATGAACAGTATCCCATTAGCCTAGTACTGTCGGAACCTCAAGCATTGGCACTGGGCATTGGCATTAGCATGCAAGAACTGCGGGAGAAAGTCGTACGACTTTTCTAAACCAGGTCGAATGTCTTGTCCTGAGGGTAAGCCACTGATATAGAACAAGCTAAGCTACTTTGATACAGCTACTGATAGGTAAATCCACCGACTCACCAATCAAGTGCCAGCGATAGGCCTAAAAATGCAGCTGGTGTGGAGCTGGTGGCCGGTTACTGTATAGGGCTATAGTCTCATCTCCGGTGAATGTCTTTGTACTTCGTCGCCATGACTTTTCCCAAGAACCGATTCTGGAGTACCACGTGTTGCAGAAACCGGAGGTTTGGGGTTTTGATTCTCGATACTGGAGTGCTGGGGTCTGGAGAAACACGCGATGTCTTTATTGACATGGAGTAGAGAAGCTGGGGAAGTCTGCAGCCCAAGAGTTGGCGTATAGCTTAATCCGTGATGTTCTGGTAACACAAACATACACACTATTGCTTACTATTTCTTCCGTCTATAACACAATGCATTATTGATAGCCAGCAAACAAAGCTGTTTGTTTCTCAGCAGTCCAATTTTGCCTATAATGGTGCTATAGTACTGTGTGATATCATCTGGGTAGCATCATGGATGTCATATCCCGGCAGTACTGTGCAACTACTACAACCTGGCTACAAAAATTCTCTGTGATACTCTACCACGGAACATAGCAGGCAATCTTATGACGCAGGCCGAGATACCTGTGAAACACATTTGCCATCCCGAGAAACCCGCCAATAGTAAAATTTGCGGTGCCATAGCTGGCCCAGGCACATCGGTTGGTTTCCATGGTATTGCCGCCGAGAAAAAAAATGCACGTCCCGGTCTGTGATCTACTGATCATAGGATCGTCAATATAGACAAGGAAGCAAAAAGAAGCAACAGACAAGCAAAGACTATCAAGAGACATGAAGGCAAAAAAGTTATACAAACACATGATTTAGATTGCATGATGACTTCTATGATTGTCATACCACCGTGAGTTGACCACGAACAGCGTCGCCTAGATGCCCGACTGACTAAACAGGTTAACTGCTTCTGTTGATCTGCATGCAGACTTTTCCCGACTAGACTCAATCCATTAAGGTCTGCTTCCGTACGGCATGCCGATGTGCCCTGGGTAGGGTAACGCCGTGGTTTCACCGGAGGCCGAATTGGTCGAGGCTGAGAGATTTTGCTCGGCAGGCCTCCGGGTGGGACCACGGCCCACGTAGGAAAATAGGGAACCTCAGCCGTTGTTTGTTGAGACTAAAGTTGCACCATTCAACATCGGCTCTACTAAAGTCCGCACTTCTCAACGATGGTTGGATGAGAATCGGACAGTGGGTCAGACGCCAAGGTAGCTTGATGCGACGGTCCACCACTCGAACGCACCAGCAGAAATTTTTTCTCCTAGCTATTCCGTATGTGACGTCGAGTTGACCGAATCGGCACACCGAGTAACTGACGGACCACGATGCCGACTTCTCGGACGGCCGATAGGTTCGGAATGATTCCAATGGCATACATACATAGCAGAAGACATGCATTGGATATTATTGTAGGTATCGCAGTCAGACAATGTGGCCTTCTACTAAACATTGAATTTGTCACTTCGTAATCATATTTCTCCTGTTTTTTTTCTAGCCAAGCCTACAGTGACAGAGTTCGGATGCTGCGTAGGTTAACTTTATCGGCACCCATCATTACCTTCCACTTCCCGACTCGGGATCGCCCAGAATTTTTTTCTCTCGGGGTGGATCCATTTAGATCTGCCACGACTCTTGGTACCAGCTCGGAACCAGAAAACTTTACTCATAGTACGTATTATGTGTCTTCAGGGGAACTATAATTAAATTTGAGCCAGAAAAAATGAAAAATGAAAAATGAGTGAGGCAGATTTGCATGGACCTCGTTAACATCGTTAAAACAACTCTGTTGAGAAAGGAGTCAAGGGATGTTGTGGATCGTCAAATGTAGACAATTGCCCGTAGATCTTCCTGTATCCCAACCAACAGAATAATTATGCGTGTGAATCCTGAAATGTTATGCGGCAAAGGAATTAAGTGTGTGTGTAAACAGAGTCAGGCTGAATGTCAGTCAACTACCATGGCCGTGAGACAATACGGAAAAAACTGCGTAGTATCTACAGTGGAATAGAATAATCTGGATACTACCAGAGTTCTACAATCATTAAAAAAATTGAATAAAAAAATCAAAAGAAAATAATAAAAGAAAATAAACTGAAAAAAAAAACCAGGCGAGCATCATGAGACGCACATGACGTCCCCGTGACTGTTTTGGAGGAATTCCAGACTCTTTTGTTTCTCTTCGCTTTCACGATAATCGACGGCGAGCCCGGCAACGAACCTCAACCCATCCATGCCAACGATAACTTTACTCTTTTGGTCGTCTCCAGGCACATCCCCACTGTCTCCCCACTCCAAGAGTCTCTGTCGAAGCATCCAAGAACACACTCCGCCCCCCTAGCATCCGACTATCCTTCCTGGTTCGGCCCTTGAGATCTGGGCCCCCGTTTTTCCTGCCATGGTCCCTACCCCGAGAATGGGGTGCCCTCCAATCCCTGGGATGGAGCGACGTTTTGTCTTGCCGACGTATGGACCGTTCATGTAAAACCTTTCATTTAATTTTCGTTAAGCGCACTAATAATCCCACGATGCCGTTATTAACTTCCGACGCTGGGTTATATATCTCCACGCTTCCCACGTTGCCTCCCCGGTTTCCTTCTCTCTTCTCATCCCATCTTTCATCCCTTCATCAACCACCAAGGATTCGTTAGATCACTGAGGAATCCATCTGTCATCATGGGTGTCTCTAATCTGATGGCCCGGCTTAAGCCGCAGGCCGACCAGCCTGAACACCAGGAACACTCCGATACTCCTACTCCTGTCAGAGCCGACTCAAGCTTGGAGAAGGATAATGTCATGCTTGACGACAGCCCCGTCAAGTATCTGACATGGCGGTCCTTCATCTTGGGTTTGTGTGTCTCGATGGGTGGCTTTATCTTCGGTTACTCAACCGGTATGTCAACGTCCCTCTGGAGAACCTACCATGCTTTTTACTGACTTTGACCTCAGGTCAAATTGCTGGCTTTACAACTATGAATGATTTCAAGATGCGCTTTGCGGAACAGCACGCTGATGGAACATACGCTTTCAGCAACGTGCGCAATGGTTTGATTGTCGGTCTGGTAAGTCCATGAATGCTATACTTTGACTGGGCGAATGAGGATCAAACTAATCTGGCTGCAGTTGTCCATTGGTACCATGATTGGCGCCCTCGTCGCTGCTCCTATCGCCGATCGCATTGGTCGCAAATACTCTATCTCCTTCTGGTCGGTGATCCACATCGTCGGTATCATCATTCAGATCGCTACCACCGACAATTGGGTCCAAGTTGCTATGGGTCGTTGGGTGGCCGGTCTGGGTGTCGGCGCTCTGTCCAGTATCGTCCCCATGTATCAGAGTGAGTCCGCTCCTCGTCAGGTCCGTGGTGCCATGGTCAGCGCCTTCCAGCTGTTCGTTGCCTTCGGTATCTTCATCTCTTATCTTGTCAACTTCGGTACCGAATCCATCAACGGTACCGCTTCCTGGCGTATCACTATGGGCATCGGCTTCGCCTGGCCCTTGATCCTGGGTGTTGGTACTTTGTTCCTTCCCGAGTCTCCCCGTTTTGCCTACCGTCAGGGCCGTGTCGAAGAAGCCCGTGAGGTTATGTGCAAGCTTTACGGTGTCGGCCCTAATCACCGGTGTATCGCCCAGGAGATGAAGGATATGAAGGACAAGCTCGAGGAGGAGAAGGCTGCCGGACAGGCCGGTTTTTTCGAAGTCTTCACTGGTCCCCGTATGTTCTACCGTGTTATGCTGGGAATTGCTTTGCAGTCGCTGCAGCAGCTCACTGGAGCCAACTTCCTCTTCTACTACGGTAACACCATTTTCACTTCTACCGGTTTGAACAACAGCTACGTCACTCAGATCATTCTGGGTGCCGTCAACTTCGGTATGACCCTTCCCGGTCTCTACGTGGTTGAGCACTTCGGTCGTCGTAACAGTCTGATGGTCGGTGCCTCCTGGATGTTCATCTGCTTCATGATCTGGGCCTCCATCGGTCACTTCGCCTTGGACTTGGAGAACCCTCCCAACACCCCTCAGGCTGGTACTGCCATGATTGTCTTCACTTGCTTCTTCATCGTCGGCTTCGCCACCACCTGGGGACCTATCGTGTGGGCTATCTGTGGTGAGATGTACCCTGCTCGCTACCGTGCCGTCTGCATTGGTCTTGCCACTGCTGCCAACTGGACCTGGAACTTTTTGATCTCTTTCTTCACCCCCTTCATCTCCAGCTCTATCGACTTTGCCTACGGTTACGTCTTCGCAGGCTGCTGCTTTGCTGCCGTGCTCGTCGTCTTCTTCTTCGTCAATGAGACCCAGGGTCGTACTCTTGAGGAAGTCGACACTATGTACGTCCTCCACGTCAAGCCCTGGAAGAGTGCTGGCTGGACGCCCCCGGAGGCATCGTCCGCGATATCCAAGGACCCCCCGCTTCCCCAAAGCAGGAGGGTCGGGCTGAGCACAGCGAGCCCGCCACCGAGATCCGCGAGTAAATGGTATCATGTCTAATGAACCAGCTACGGCCGTCGCTTACGCATTGATACAACGTTTTTGTGTTTTTCGTCGTCCTCTGTAATCCTTTTTAATGTTGTGGCGCAACTCTTCTCCTTTTGAATGCTCTGAATATAGCGATGTGAATGCATGCATGCATGAGTACATATGTTGAGGGGCCATGAATATGGCATGACTTTTGGAACCAAGGAACCTACTGGCGTTTTGGGTGCATAAACCAGCAAAGCAAACACTACGAGCTTATGCAGTTTAAAGAGATATAAAAATATAATATAATATATAACAAATAACTCGATCTTATCTCTTGTAAAAGATCTATCACCAGCGAACGGTATCCGACACAAGGTATAAAACTCTAGATAAGTTAACAAATGCAATGACAGCATAGAGGTGGGTACGAAGACCAGAGTTATCTATGGTAAAACCATTTGTACACTAAAATTCAAAACCGGCGCCCGGGTCTTGTATCCTTTCACTACAATTAATGGGCGCTCCACACCGTTTCCCGCGAGTCAGCGAGCACAGATGCATTCCCCCTGTGAGATTAACTGGGATAATAAGAGTATATATTACGTGATTGAGTGGAAGGTGACCCTTAACCACTGGATCTTGACAACTGATACCGAACAAGACCTGGACCAAACACCAAGTTCATACTAGGAAAACATAAAGCAAAAGGCCAATAATGTTGTACCAAAGAAAAAGAGCCCTAACCAACAAACAGATAAGATACGATGACACCACGGTTGTAGGTTCTATAAACCATCGTTCACATCGTACCCTTACTAAACGGTTTGAACATACTAGTAATATTAATTGGACTAGTATAAAGAGGCAGCTACTAAAATAGAAGGCACTTTTTGATAATAGCAAGGATCTAAGGCTTGAGATTTGTATTAAGTACTTAGAGGACAGCAACTCACGAACAGATAACAGAGGTCCTGCATCAGCAACGGCGGGAATGCTCAGGGAGCGAGAGGCTCGCATTAATGCCGAGCGCTCTTCCGGACAGACTTTTGCCTGGCGACATGTTTATCGAGTGATGCGTTGCCCTGGCCGCCCATGCAACCATAATGGCTAATTCTGCTGGTTGGATCCGGTGGGGAAAAAGCATTACAAACTTTTAGGGCATCATATAAGGAGTCTTGTCGCCCATGTAGAGGATGGCGGAACCCTAGAGACCCACGACGATGTTCCTTATACCATTCGAGAAACCATTTATGCTGAGAAAGAGAGAGAGACAAAGAAAGAAAACAAAAAACTTCTCACCCTGCAACTGGATCGATGTATCATCCAATTAATATCAATGTTCTTCTATCTCAGCCACTTATATCTCCATCAGATGGTCCTGAGACAAGCTCGTCACGAAACACCCAGGTTGATCTTACTAATATCCCCGGGTCACTTGAAGAATTGGTGGAAGATTATAGCAACTGGCAGCTATCTCAGGTAAACACGGAGGTATTCAAGGAAAGCATCAAGAAGGCGCGTGACCTAGCCCTAGAAAATTGTCTGGACGTTAAACAGATTCGTGACGAAATAGACCCAGAGTTTTTTGTCAAACAGGGTGTAGAAATAGGCGTCGCTCGCAGGTTTGTAAATAGAGTTGACTTGTGGCTCACTCATAAGACAAATCAGGATAGACTGGGTTGATATATTTATAATTCTTAAAAAAATATAATCACAGGCACACAATCCCTTCCACCTCGGACTAAACTAAGTCTGATTTCAAACCCTGGCCTGCCTGTACACTAAGTTACAAAATCGGTGTCCGGGTGTTGTACACTCTTGTTTTAATATTATGGATCTTCTAGTCTATAAACAGATGGTATCATCCTTAGTAGTTGATATTAAGTGATATGATGGGTGTAACTTAATATACTTAATCATATACATATGGACTAGCAGACCCACTGATTTAGAAAAAGAGTGTGCAACACCCAGACACCGTTTTCGCAACTTGGTGTACAATATCCAGGTTCACAAGTCGCGAATGCTTCTATGAAGGAGTTGCTTTCACATAAGGTCGTTTACCAGTTACGTTAGAGGTATCTTTCCAATTTGACTTCCTCATACAGTACAGTACTATCCTTACTGCTCCTTCTCTTCTTCGTCCTGTTTCTTCTTCTCCTCTTCCTCCCATTTCTTCATATATTCCTCTTCCTCCCATTTCTTCTTCTCTTCCTCCCATTTCTTCTTCTCTTCCTCCTGTTTCTTCTTCTCTTCCTCCCATTTCCTCTTCTCTTCCTCCTGTTTCTTCTTATACATCTTGTCTTCCTGTTTTTGTTTTGCAAACCCTTCTGCTTCACGCTGTTCTTGTTCGGGTTGTTGTTTGTCTTCGACCGTGTACACTTCGGCAGGTTGCTCCTTAGCTGCACATAAATCAGTTACAGACTTGACTTCACAATCTTTTTCAATGGGGTCTCTTTATTAGGCTGTCCATCTTCATGGATATTTTCAAGCTTACCTTGGCGATTTGCTATGCTTTCTATTTGCCTCTCTTGACCTCTGAGGGACTGTAGGGAGGATATCCTATCATTGTAGAGAGTGAAGATCATCTTTATCACTGCCTTAGTAAAAGATAGGTCGTTCCCAAGTGCTTTGTAAAGTCCATCGTGGTCGAATATACGCTCATCCAAGCAAAAGGCCCTTCGAAGTTGCGTATAGAGATAGTCGCGGATCCAGGCGCCGTCACCAGGGATTTTTGAAAATACTGTCCTAGCTGTGTCCAGAATATAGTAGATGGACACCGAATGACTAAGTATTTCGATATACCTCTTGGCAAGGGCTTCTAGACCATGTATTCTATACGTCAAGGCGGCACGGTAAACTTGGACGCTTCGTCGAAACTCTTTTGGTATATCATATATACCTTTACTAGGAGCAGTGTTAAGCGTTTCATATCTCCCAGTGTATAAGAAATGGACAACAGTGTGTCCAATGTCTTCCTCGATATCTAACAACCTAACATATAGGCTGTTTTCCGATCTAGTTTGAAATTGCGAGTAAGCCCTAAGGTAGCATCTGGGAACAGCGTACTCCTTACGCCCTATGAGAAGTGTGACAAATGGATCCTCATATGGGCTAGAATGGTCAGCAAAAGACCGGTTAGTTATTGGGTACTATATGTAGCTCAGCTTTGTCGTGAGAACTTACGATGAATCCGGCTGCTTGTAGTCAATTGTTGGGCACTCTGGAGTTGCTGAATTAACACCTTTTTCAGAAGCCATGTTCTTTGCAGCACTCAATTCACGGTGGGCTTTCTGCTTTCTACCTATTTCCGTCTTTAGTATTGATCGGATTCGAGTAACAAATCGGTGACTAGCAGTAATGAGAAGGAAAAATCGATGTTTCCGGAGGGGGTTATGTTGACTATTAAACATTCCCGCCGCGCTTGGACATTTCCCAAGAAAGATAGGGATGAGAAGGAGGGGTAATGCAAGGATAATACAAGTATGAGTTGGACAGCTTTTGAACAAGTTATATCGATGATAAATATGCAAAGCTACCTGAATAGCGATAGAATATTGCGTATATATTTAAAAGATCTATTAACTGTTGTAAACTCCTTGCATGAAATATATATAATTCTTCTCTTGCTGTAAATCATGGTGTGATACCAGACCATGACCATAAATCACGACTATAAATCATGTACTGCTACTCAGTCCCTATAAATAATGTTTGTTAAGTTTTATTGTAAATGTATTGCTGTATAACAAAGGGTCTATAATTTTTTTTTTTAAAAAAAAAAACTGATAGCAAGTCAAAGAGTCTATTGAGAGCCCGGGGAATGTTATAGAAAGGCTATATTTGGAACGAGTATATATATACTACAGTGCTAGATATTAAATAAACGCCACGGGGTATTGCGAGGAATTCCCGGCTTTCAAGCGTGGAAGTTACTGCCTGCTGGTCGACAGAAAGTCTGCCCTATAATATGGATCTTAAAAGGGTTTATAGGTGTGTTTGCCGGAAAGGGTTGATACTCTAAGGATTTTAATATACTATAGATAACCAGATGGAGAAGCTTTGGTTGCCTTTCTCACAACTGGGCTTCTTAATTTTAGGAGAGTTTCAATGCTGAGTGGCGACACGAATGTATATCTGCTGCTAGAACATTTGAAGAGATCATCTATGCTGATTCCTAGGAACTATATAATACCTACCAATAACCAGTTGCCGTAAGAAGGGAATTTATGAAGTAGGGTCTGGGACTAAGAATTGGAATTGTAGCAGGACGGACCGCTCACTGACTGCGGTAGAATTTCGTAACTTGTATAGGAGTCATACTACGAGGAGACTAGTAGTCTGTCCTTCTAACGCCTATCTATTTATCACATCCAGACTCATCCACAAAAACAAATTGATCTGAGTGAAAATCCAAGATTCTATCAAAGTATTCCTCTCGCAAGTCAGAGTTCTGTTCGCTTGCTTTCTGTTTAGCTTTCTTTTTAAACTAGCCTTTATATAAAAGAGCACGTCTAATGCTAGATATTGTTACTTCCTTTTCAAATATATCCCGGATAAATTTAGCCATTTTATATAGATATAAATTAGGCTTTTCAATCAAATGATCACAAAAAGTTGCAACTATTATTGGAGTAAGGCTCCGTGGCCTCCCACCTTTACTTAAAGATACTTTCACGCTCCCAAATAAGCGTTTATTAGTACGTAGTCTCCTTATTATACGCTCGTGGCAATCAACAATATCAGCTATCTAAGCCGCTGTAAGTTCACCAATCGTTATTATTATATCAGCAGCCTCTATCTTTGATACGCCAAGATTAAGTACTATTTTTGCGCAGTTAGATTGTATTGGGAGAATGAATATAATCGATGGATCTTCACCAAGGAGGGGTATGGAAGTGTAAGGCCAAGGGTATTGTATTAGTGAAATATATTATAAAGTATTATTATTGTTATATAGGACCTGTATACTATACAATACCTTGTTCAAAAATCGGCCGTCTAAAAGAGGTTAGTCCATTCTTGGCATAGGATCCGGGCGCCGGTTTTGAATTTTAGTGTATATATGGCGAATTTGTTTGCCAGTTGATTTCTGGGAGTACTAACAGGGAAGAGAAATATCTCAAGTCTCTAGTCAATGATACGCCGCGGAGAAGTGACAAAATGGAGAGTCAATCAAGGCAAAATGATCAATTTTTATTTCTATCTTCGTCTTCGCGTTCATCAAAATATTTAAATCAATCAAGCCGATAAATGCTGATTCGGTTGGGTCGGAACAACCCCAGGTATTTACGCAGCAGTATAATTCATCCGGAGACTGTAACAAACAATCAAAACATGAAGAAACATAACCCCCGACGCCCTGTTTTTTGACACCCAGTTCATGACATGTAGAAGATGAGATATATTAAGGGGTGGTGACATCGTCTCATCGTGCACTCGGCACTTGAAGACAAGGCCTTTACCGACGTTGAGTCTTGCCGATGGTACGCTTGCCGGTGAACTAGAGACAAACGTTAGTGAATGAGCAACAGGGGTAAAAGGGTGACTGTGAGGACATACCAAGTGCTTGGGGAGAGATGCAGTAGTGTGGCGATCGGCCTCTCCGGCTCTTGCCATGCGGTTCATCTTCTTCTGGCCCAGCTTCTTGAGACGCTCGGCCTTGCTGCGAGCCGTGGTATCGGTAACACCGTCCAGGAGACGGTTGGTTGCTGCCTGGCTACGGGCACGGCCCTTGGCCTTGGCGATGGCTTGGCGAGGATCGGACATGTCGACATCCATAGCATCGTCGCCATCGGCATCGCGAGTAGTGGTACGTCCACGGGTTTGGCTCTTGGAGCGGGCACGAGCGGAAGCAGCATCGACATCGTAGCCGGCCTCTTCGAGAGCATTCTCCATTTGGGACAGCGACTTGGCCTTGGCGCTACGAGGGATTTGTGCGCGGTTCTTGAGAGACTTGCGCATCTTCGCGTCGTTGCGCATCAAAGCCCGCTTCTCACGAATCAAGTCTGCCTTCATGCGGGTGTCTGCATCCTCAGCATCTTCCACGCTCTCATCAGAGTCGTAGTAACCGTCAGCTTCCAGCTTCTCTTCCTCCTCCTCCAAAGCGGCCAATTTCTGCTCAATATCGGGATCCACGAAATCGTAGATGTTCTTGCCGTTCCACACTTCGGGAATCTTATCATGCTTCCATTCGTCATTGGCCAAGTCGTAGGTCTTCTTGAGGTCAATGTTGTAGACACCAGCACCACCGTTCTCCTCCTCAATGTCCCTCTCCAACTTCTTCCGGTTAGGATCGTCCTTGTCGTATTTCTGGAGGGTCTTAACGGCCTCAGGGATGAAGGTTTCACGTTGAACACCACCCATGGGCTGTGCAACATGAATACGGGCAAGGACATCACCCAGACGTCCACCGGGAGTACCAGAGCTGTTCGTTCCAGACTTGAGTTTCTGTGCCACTCGCTCGGCCAGTAGCTTGTCGCAAGCGGCGTTCTTCACGTTAGTTACACCCTCAGTAGTGGTGCAAGACAACTGCAGCATTTCCACATCTCCAGACTTGAGGATCGACTCGATCTCTTGCTGGTATTCGGGTTCCAAATCCTCGGGGCGCCTGACATCAATCTTGTTGACGACAAGGAAGACAATTTTGTTGGCGAATAGCGGGCGGATGCTGTGGAACAGCTTGATTTGGTCGGCGACGGAGTAGCCACACTGTTCAGAGAAATCCATGAAGTACATGACCGCGGAGCGAAGATGGGCAATGGCGGTAATGGATTGCATTTCAATCGTGTTCATCTCCTCCAGAGGGTGGTCCAAAATTCCGGGGGTATCAATGGCTTGGAATCGCAAGTACTTATAGTCGAAATGACCGACGAACAAACTCTTGGTTGTGAATGCATATGGCTGAACGTCAACATCGGCCTTGGTGATGCTGCGCAAAAAGCTAGACTTTCCGACGTTGGGGTACCCGCAGATCAGGAGAGTTCGGGTGTTGGGATCGATGGATGGCAAACGGCCCAAATGTTGACGGACTTGCTCGAGGTAGACCAGAGGGTCTTTGAGACGTCTGCAAATGGTGGCCATGCGACCGAGGGCCGCGCGCTTCAGCTGCTTGCACTGGAACAGAGACTGGGCATATTTGATCAAACGGACATAATCGCGGGAAACAGTCTCAATAAGATGTTTGGCGGTAGAAACTTGACCCAAAGCGATTCTGAAATGGTCGGCATCGTAGAGTGTGTTCATCAAGTCCTTGTCTAGTAACTGTTAGACAGTCGCACCGGGAGAATAATCAAAAGCCTAAAAACCTACGGAAAGGATGAATATCCTGAAGCCGGGGGAATCCATCTAGAATGGCCTGGAACTTTTCGCAGAATGTCTCTTGGGTATATTTGACCTTTCGGGTATAAAAGCCTAACCAGCGGGGGCAAAATTCGTATCAGCAAAATCCGAGTTTTATCTTGTTAATTCGGATCACAATCATTTTGGTCCGAAATTAACGATCGGGGATTGCGAAATACCTCTGATACGGCTGATTTTGAAACCAGCACGGATCTGAGTCGGCAGCTGTCTCTGGGTACGGCTGAGGACGACATCCAGAAATTCCTGGCTCGTGGGCACAGGAGCGATCTGAGAAAAATACTCTATCAGTTTGACGGTTCTAGAGCGTGACGGCAGCATTTCAGGCGCAACCAAAGATAACTCACATCCTTCCAAGTGGTCTTCATGATGGGCAACCTGAGAAGTACCAAATATGACTCTCAAGAATATCCCAGAAGGTGATGATAAGATTTTGAAGTCTCCGAGTCGAAGCACTCGCTGAACAAAAACGAAAAAAAAAATATTCCGGGCGGTCGGCGCAAAGTTTTGGCGGGCGGTGAGAGACGCAATGTGGGGAACTTTTTTTCCTTTCTAGTAGCCGAGAGAAAAGAGACCCGTCCAGATAAACTACTTATTATAGTTCCTGTCGACTTCGTTACAAACAGTTCAGTTTCATAGCTTTCCCTATTCAATTGCTCTCTATCATGATCATGTACATTGAACTACCGCGGGACTATGATACACAAATATTCCTGCCCTGACCTGAAAAACTAGCCGCCTATTCATGGTCGTCATCAGCATGGGGTATCTGTCCCAGAACCATCGTAGCCCAGACAAACTCCGTTGCTTTTCTCTTGAACCCATCATGTAAGAAGACCGAACCCAGTGTTTCAACATAACATGCGTCAAATGTCGCGTGGGAATTGTGAAAATCAACAACAAAGGGGAAACCTAAAACAGGAGGAAAAGGAAGATATCATAGAAGGGGAAAAAGTGAGAAAAGAGGAAAAAGGGCCAGGTAAGAGGAAGACCTGTCAACGAGGCGGCGCAACATCAGTCGCAGCAATCCTAACCACCCATGACGATTTACTCTCCGATGAATTCCAACACCTGCCGTTGGTCAGTTACAGGCTGCAAGTAGGGGTACTTTTCAGAAAAACTTCACTTACCAAATTTGTCCAACCGCCGCCACCAAACTGACACTTGCTAGGACCACGGTTCTCGAATCCAAAAGATTCGTAGAATGGCACGAGATGATCATGGGCTATGATCGAAATGCGCTCGGCGATCTGTGCTTCTCTGATCCTGTGGATGTAGGACTTCAACAACGTGGTGGCAACCTGCTTGCTTGGTGCTCCGGCAAAACAGCCAAGGAATGGATAGCAATCGTGGCACCATCTTCGTCATGGCCGACGGTCTCTCCGTTCTCCACAGTCATGCGCTCGGTTTGCCAGTTCGCGGGAAGCTCCATAGCCTTGTCGGTCACAAGCGGAGTCGAAATGCGAGTCGCAACGATGTGTCCAACCAAGGTCGGGCGAGGCTTCGGCTGGTCCTCTCCTAAGATAGGCAGTGTAAAGAGACCCAAGCAAAGTTCGGGGCATCGGTTCAGGCGATATACAAACTTTGACACCAAGTCAGCCAGGCGACAGATCGGAAAGTTGGAGTGGAGAATATGTCCATACCTTCTCTCGGGTACAGCGCTCTTGTTCGGGAAACGCGCTCTCCACGTTGACACAGTCCTCCACATTCGACACAGTCAAGACCTGTACAAAAGGGTGCAACTCGTCCAGCTTCGTGCGTTGATGCACAGGCGGGCGACGGAACCAATAAGGAAATTCGTTAATATCGTCATGGTCCACTGCAACGTAGTCTTCGTCGACCTCTTCTTCGTCGTCATCATCCACCTCTTCCATGGGGATCCCGTTGGCCATTGAAAAATCTCCACGGGCGCTCAGGCGTGAGAGGTCATCCCCGGTCGTAGGCAAGGAGAACCCGTCCGCGTTCGATAACGGCTTGAACCCATTGATGGGCTGGTCCGCAGCCGACTTATCGAAGGTATAATCGGACATTATCTGTCGCTCTCAGGACTCGATTTTCAATAGGTCGCAAGCCGACGTTCCTTTTGAATTTGCAGGGCAGATGGAAAGAAAATTTGTAAAATGCGAAAGCAGACAGATATACTCGAAGAGAGGGGAGTAAAAGTCCAAGCGGACAGGATTTGCTGAAAGCGCAGGATTGTGGAAAGGATTGGCTGAAGGGGACCCTAGGAGGGATGAAAAAGAGTCGAATCGAGGGGCGTGAATCCTCGGAAAATGGTGGGGATCAAAAATTAGCTCTGATGCGGACAGGCGATAAGAACTTGAGTCGGGTTGCAGTTCCAGAAGCTTAGGGCCGGGTCGTAAGCCAAAAGACGCAAGCCACCAGTTAAGCCTGAATGAAGGAGGTTTTCAAGTTAGGAACTGGAAAGTGCAGTTTACCAACCAGATCTTCTCAACGCACGTAAGGGAATGTGAGTGGATTGTTGTGTGCCAAAGGGTGGACACAGTGAGGCGTTTGATTGCCACTCACACAGAGGCAAATGAAGGATAGTAGTATTGTGGAAGTGTGACCCGGGCACAGTATGATTGGCTGTCCGTTTCTTTCTTTTTTCTTTCTCTTTTTTCTTTGGTACGTACGGAACAAAATCAATACAAAAAGGAGACCAGGGAAAGCAGGAGAGAAGGCAAAGTAGTCAACGATCGAGGAATATGCGTGTTCCTGAAGGATCTAATCCACTAACTATCCGCTGATAGGGAACTAAAAATGTTGGTCGATCGATCCCCCTGCAGATGGTCAGAAACTTCAGAACTAAAAGTCTTACTACTACTGGGATTAATTTAGTTAATTGCCAGGGCTTTAATTGATTGCTTTCTATCCCGGTGAAGGAAGATTGCTGAACCCAACGCGGGGTATTATTGACGGTTATATGGATACCTGATAATGCAAGTCATGTTCGTATGTAATTTATACGCGTAACATGGACGGGTGGGTAGGCTGGGGGATGGGGGGGAGAGATATGGAGAAATTTGACGGTTTCTGCCCCGTAACCGGATGGGTCCCGTACGGAGCACGAGTTTTACTCGTCGGTACTACGACAACTAGTCAGTACTCCTGAGAATAATGTGTTGCTCGGTGTCAGTTAAAGCATGGACTCTTGTCACACTGAGACGTCAAACCGGGTCATGGAACACGTGCCGTACGTCTCAGTCCAGCAAGGATCCTGTAAGGGGGGGTTCTCTAAGACAAGATTGCCTACTATCTTCGTCTCAGTAATGAGCCTGCGCAATATCTGTAAATATTTACCACCAATTGGTGATCTATTAATAACACACTTCATGATAGAGAATGGACTGCTATATCGGAGATTCATCATGGTCTATCCTTGACACTAAACATAGTGCTCCTTGATTGGTTTCTCCGCACCTGATTGCATGCAGTAGTGGGTGTGTCCATGCACAGGGACCGGGCCTTACTTCTACAACAGAGCATGTAAGGAGTCCTTGAGAACGCAACAAACCAGGACAGCAAAGCATACAGCACTGTCGATCTTCTTGCTACCATGGCCGAAGCGTTTCCTGCCAACAATGGCATGACTTCATTCTGGCGCACTGAGCCTCATTTTCTCGATAGCCATCGCTCAACCGAGGTGCTGCCTGATGCTAGTGATATTGTCATCATTGGGGCAGGATATGCAGGCGTATCGACTGCATACCACTGTATGCGTCTTAGTCAATCCTCGTCAGCTGATAAACCTTCTATAGTAATACTGGAAGCCCGTCAGGCCTGCTCAGGGGCTACGGGTCGCAATGGCAAGTCACAACTAAATCTAGGTAACTAATGAAGTGCTGACTCTGACATCTGATCCCCCTAGGCGGTCATCTGAAACCTGATGTATATTACCAAGTCAGTGCCCTGGCAGATAAATATGGAATTGACGCAGCAGAAGAAGTGGCCGCTTTTGAGTTGGCGCATATGGCAGCGGTTCAGTCTTGTGTAGAAGAGGAGAAGATCGATTGCGATCTAGAATTCGGCAAGGTCGTTGATGTGCAGCTTGACGATAATCATTGTGCCAAAACCAAGACGGGATACGAATCTCTTCTTGCTCAGGGAGCCCTTACAACAACGGAGGCCGATTTCAGTCCAAAAGAGACTGCGGAAGCTGTGAGTACCAGCTCAGCCATTGCAGATTTCTTTGTATATTCATCCCCTGCGTAGGTGTCTGGCGTGAAAGGCGCCCGGGGCTGCTTTCGCTGTCGCACAGGGCGACTTTGGCCATACAAATTTACCACTCAACTCTTGGAGCGGACTGTCTCGGCCGGCGTCAATCTTCAAACTCAAACACCCGTGCTCCGCATATCTGAAACCCCTGACATTGATGGACGTTGGACTGTCGTGACTAGCCGAGGTTCGGTTCGAGCAAAATGGGTTGTTTTCTCCAGTAATGCATATACATCTGCCATCGCTCCCGAATACAAGGACAAGATTGTCCCTGTACGAGGTGTCTGTAGTCGGATCGTGGTGCCCAATCCACCGAAAACCCCGCTGAACTGCTCTTACACATTGCGTTTTAATGCCTGGGACTATGATTATCTGATCCCCCGACCGGATGGCAGCATTGTTGTTGGTGGGGGAAAGTCTACGTTTTTCCATGACTCCAGCGAGTGGTACAACAATACGGACGACAGCAGATTGATAGAATCTGCTACGCGGTACTTTGACAATTACATGCAACGGCACTTCCACGGCTGGGAGAACACAGGGGCATATACCGACCGTGTTTGGACGGGAAGTGCGTCTCTTGTTCTAGCTCGTTCGTGACTTGATTAAATAGCTGGTGCTAACGTTTTGCGCATAGTAATGGGTTATAGCACCGACTCCTTGCCGCATGTTGGACCCATCCCAAACAAACCTTGCCAGTTGGTGATTGCCGGCTTTAACGGCCATGGAATGCCACAAGTCTTCCTCTCAGCACAGGCGATTGCGCAGATGATTATCTGTGGAGCTACGTATGAGGAGACGAAGTTACCGCGATTGTTCAAGACCACCCTGGAACGGCTGAGCAGCCAAGAGAACCACATCCTGAAACATTTGAAGGCTATTTGAATAAGAATCAATCAATTACGTACATGAATGGGTCCTAGTTTGAGTCAACATGTTCCGAACCTACAACTCCGTATTCTGCAATGTTGGCGTCTACACTTCTCTATGCCAGTCTCTAGCAGCGCTGCACTCTCCTGACCAAGCCGAGGGATTGTAAGCAATAATGGGAACCCAGGAATGAACACTACTCCTGAAGACAATGCGTGGATTTGTCTGGTGAAAGAAGATCATCGCCATGAACTGTTAACTGTGGAGATAACTTCTTTTTTTTTATCAATCTCCGAGCAGCGGGTGTTATCGGCGCCAATCAGAAGCCGAGACCGGAATGCGTCATTATCCGCATCGACTCATTTTTGTTTTCTCCAAATTGGACCCCCTCACTCCTCTCTGCTGCTCTCCTTCTGTACCACCTTTCTTCTTCAGGCTTCTTCCTTCGCCAACTCCTATGTATTCCTTCCTGAAATCAGGCTCTTTCATCCTCGATAGCAATGAAACATGAGTTCTAGGGCGCTGACTTGGCCGCGGACAGCGAAGTCCTCTCTACTAAAGGTAATCGTGAAACCCTCTCTCTTGTACATTGCTTTCCAATTGACCTTGCCATCCTGCAGCAGCAACAAACCTCCCCCTTCGTCGGTCAGCCAAGTTTGGGGGTTTCTAACTGCCGGTCCTTGTCCTCTACCTCCGATCGGCCGATCAACCAAAGTGCCGAGTTTTCGTCCAGCAGCAGAAGCTATGACCGACTAGGTCGTCGGGCTAAGGAAAAATTATTGGATCGTGTACGATGGTCGCCCAGCACCAATAGTTTCAGGAAGCATCCACTGACCACTTCAATGGCTTTTCCGGCTATAGGAATTTTTCCTTAGTCTGCTGAACTCCGCGTCTACGAAACGAGAGGCTAAATCGTATCTGGCTCGCCTGAAAGCACAACATTCTCCGAAAGCACAGATAAAACCGACCACCAGACATTCGAAAGAAACGGTTGCGCAATCACTACCGTCGGGGGTTAACCTAGGTTCATTCTACGGAGCCTCGCGGTCTGTGTATGATAGCCCTGTTTTCCGCCATGACTCAACGCCTCTCCCGCCACCGTTACAATTACCAGAGGAAAGATTACATCTAGCCCTGATTAAGCTCAGGACACCGCAGCTACTTGATGACACGATCATCAATGGAGTGGCCAAGACCCTGTCCCAGTTGAGCCGCCTAGGGATGGCTTGCTGTGTTGTGGTTGACCCTGGAACTGCGGACAATGCAAATACCTTACGCAGGGTTGCTGCAGAACAAGCCGAACGTATTTCAATTGCAGTAGATGGACAACCAGATTCAAAGTCTGCCCATCTCGACTCGGTCTTGTCTCTGTCCCCGATGTATCCGGAGCAGCCCACCGTTCTTTCCAGAAAGGCACTCCTCAATCCGCTCCGTGACGGCCAAATTGTGGTTGTTGCCCCCATTGCCTACACGGAAGATGTCCCTAAGGCAGTTACTATATCTGCGAATGATGCCATTCTGGCCCTCACAAAAGAGCTTGCCGGCCTGGCGATGCGCCCCGACCCTGATGAAGACCCTTGGCTCACGGCGCAGAAAATCGCTAAGCTGCAAAAAGAGGTTTCTTTGGATCGAGTAATTCTCCTGGACCCTCTTGGAGGAATCCCTTCCTTCCAAGGACCGCAGACATCGCACGTTTTCATCAATATGGAGCAGGAATTTGATGATATCAAGAATGAGTTGCTTCACGTACAGGCTTGTACAACAACCACACCAAAACGGGAAGATACCTCCATTCAGGATCCTTTGGAGAGGCACCTGGACAACTTGCAACTGTCGCAAAGTGTGCTTGCTATGCTCCCATCGGCGTCCTCAGGGATTATTACCTCTCCGCTGGAAGTTTCTAATTCAGCTAGGACACCTCAGGCTAGCCCTTCAGATGTATCTGCTGTGGGAACCCGACGACAGCGAAACCCGCTCATTCACAACTTACTCACAGACAAACCGCTGCTTTCCTCTTCACTGCCCGTGAGCCGACGAGAGGCGATGAACCGTAGACGAGGCTCTATAAATTCCCCTAGTTCTCATACAACTTTTGTCAAACGAGGCATGCCTATCACAATGATTCCCAACCCACGAGTTGAGGTGTGGACAGCGCAGAATCGTCCACGGCTGACGCTGGATGATCCGAGCATCGACCTGCCGCGATTAGTTCATTTGATCGAAGACTCCTTCAACCGTAAACTCGACGTCCAGGATTATCTCAATCGAGTCAACGATCGGTTGGCCGGACTGATCATTGCAGGAGAGTATGAAGGTGGTGCTATCCTCACATGGGAGCTGCCGCCGGGCGTGGAAGATGATGGTAGCCCGGCCAGTGAAGCTCGGATGGTCCCATACCTGGACAAGTTTGCTGTCTTGAAACGCAGTCAAGGAGCTGGTGGTGTGGCCGATATTGTGTTCAATGCTATGGTTCGCTCATGTTTCCCCAACGGGGTATGTTGGCGCAGTCGCAAGGACAATCCAGTGAATAAGTGGTACTTCGAGCGCTCTACGGGGACGTGGAAGCTATCTGACACCAATTGGACTATGTTCTGGACGACTCCAGGATTGACCGAGAATTCCCAACGGTTTTCTGATTATGAGCAAGTGTGTCGGAGCATTCAGCCGAGTTGGGCGGACGATACGGGTGTTGTTGATTGATGGATATAGACCTTCTGGCCTTTCTTTTTGCCTCGAACTAGTACATAATATGCACCAAGTGTAGCAGGGGTTCTGGCATGAATGTATATACTTAGACTGATCGATGAAAATATCCCCAAATGGACATTATAACATGGACACTCACCGCCTTCGGCCTGGACACCGAACCGCCGCGATTCCGTCGCGATGAGCTCCCTTGACCTCTCCCTGAAATAGACATTGACTATGGATCTCAGGATGACTAGAAGTCAATGACATGATGCCTATCTGCATCGAGTGCTCGTATCCCGTGTCGCATTTGTATAGCACTTACAGTCGTGCCGACGATCGTTCGTTAGGCAAAGGCGTGCGCTTGACACAATGTCCACGCTGCCAGCGATTCGCGGATAAGTATGTTGAATACGATTTTGTCGTGATCTTCATTGATCTCGTTTTGATCAAGCCGCAGGTATGCATATTGAAGTGATGGCTTATTTGGAAACTAATGTACTGACCACAGAAGGTCTATCGCCATCTCCTTTTCAATAGGCTTGGAGGAGACAACAACCAATTCGATGTACGTCCTGTTATTTCTCATTCGCTTTCTCTTCTAGTCCACTGTGTCCTCGGAATTAGGATCTGTCCAACTGACCAAAGTATCTGCTCTCTAGCGCTCTATCATTCGTCTAGGAGTCCTTCTACTTTTGTTTGACGTCTATCTGACATGGGCTCGCATTGAGAAGTCTCCCTCTTTGGCCACCACCTTCCTCTCTCGCGCACCGATCGTTGTCCAGTACTTTTTCTTTTTGGGCCTAAATGCGCTTGCGACTCTTGCCCATCATCTCACCATCCGTGTCCTAGCTTCAGTACTCGCCCCAACACCTAGGGGCTTGAGGCAGAATGGCAGCAACTCGAATACTACCACGACAGATAGCCCCCTCTCCACCCCGTCGACACCAGTACATACCTCTCCTCCAACTCAAATCACGAATGCGCAATCCCAAGTATCTCCCACCTCAGCATCCATGTTGAGTCCACCTAGGCTCACTCGGCAAGGCTCTTACGATATTCCATCAGCGGGCGGAGGATTCTCAGCCGCAAACAGTTTAGGAAGTGATAATCACGCCGTCAATCCAGCAACTCAGAGCTCATTACCACCACCTCCTTTGCGCCGCGCCTCCACAGCTCCAATTCAGAGCATTCAACCGCTGCCTCCTCCAACACCCGCCAGCCCCACCGCCATCAGCACTGCACTTCTCGTTAGCAGTTGTGCCAAACTTTTCCCGATACTGCTTGTCATCTGGGGCGACGGCAGTGGCATTGCATCTCAGACACCCACCAACAGCAGTGTAGGGACAAGTCGCGTAACCCCGGGCAATCTCTCGCAGCACGCGCTGAGCGGTATGACCGCCGCGGCAACCACCACCACCACAGGCTCGTCAGGAATAGCGGGATCACCATCGGCAGCTTCGTCAACGCTTCTAGAAAGCTTGATTCAGATGCTGCCTCAGTCGGTACCGACAAGTTACCTAGCAAACTTCGTCGAGCTGACAGGCTCACTTTTCTCACTGGGGGCAGCCGATACACATCTGGTGCTGTTGAGTAATATCGAAGCCCTATATGTCCTCTTAGGATGCGGGTACCTCCGCGCTGTAACACTAGCAGTCGCCGGACTAATGGCTCGATGGACAGTACAGAGAGTCATCCTAGGAACAATAGGGGTTGGCTAACATACAACGGAAATACCTATCAGATCTTTCAAGTGAAAAACGAAACTCATCCCGTTCATGAGAATCTATGAATCACCGCTGAGAAAACATCAATGTAGCAACATGAAAGAAAGAAAACGTAGTACCAAGCATACACAAGATAGCTATACAAAAACCCCATAATTCACTTCACTCATCCACCTTCCAAACCCAACCTAACATATCCTACCCTCCCCCCAACCAAGAACCCAATAAAGAAAAATCACTGCGGCACCCGATCAGGCCTAATATCCGCCCTCTTCGGCGAAATAAGCGGATGCCACTGCGCCAGGAACGTAATCGCTGCACATATCACAAGTCAGCACACTCATTCTCCCAACCCAAACCCCAAATACCCAAACCTAGTACAAAGGAAACAGAAAAGGATAGAAAAGAGAGAGAAAAAGACATACCCCACATCAAATAACAAGACACAAACGAGAGGATAAGCGTACTCCGCCAGAGCCTAAGACACCCGTTAGACCTAGATCCGAGGAGAACATTGAAGGGGGATTGGGGGGAGGGGGATCACATACGTCTGGTTCTCGCCCTTAGGACTGAACAGCCAAGCGACAACGGACGCGACGGCGATGACGATCAGGCCGATGATTAGACTCCACCTTTTGTTTTCACGCTGTTAGTTTTTTCTTTTCTTGGTCTTTTGGGTGAGGAGGTGACAAGACACACCCGTTCGCCATTTTGTATCTTGGTTATTCTGCTTCGAATAGCTATGGATTGTAGGTGGTGGAGGGTCAATGCAGTCGGACACAGGGACCAGCCGGTGTCTTCTTGTTCTTTCTTCTTTTTCTGTGTGTGTGGAGATAATCCGTGAGTGAGTGGGTGGTTCCGATGCGGGTATGCTGGCTTCGTTCGGTGGTTTGTATCTGTTCGCAAGTCGATGTATCTCTGATGTTTCTCCACCGGTGCGGGAATCGGTGTTGTCTTCGAGGAGGTAGAATGGACCGCTTGCCTCGTAAGGGACGGGGGATTTGGCGCGGGTCGAGACGAGCAAGAGCGATAGATATTGACTCAGTGGTGGGAGGATTGTTGTCGTTGAGGTGGACTCTCCGCGGGATAGAGGTATGGGATGTCGGAGCTCTAAGGCTGGGGGAGCTTGTAGGTGATGTTGATGCCTGAGGCAGAGATGCTGGATGGTAAGGCGGTGATGGGTTGCAGAATGGGATTGTCTTGCGTAAGGCTTGCTTCGATAGGAAGCTGCATGGGGTAGATTTAGGAATCATATGTGGGGGTTAATGCTGTCTCTTGGTTTTATTTCTGTTTTTATCATGATGTTAAAGTGGAAAGATTATGCTTATCCGCCCACTCCAAAAACAACTCTCAGGCTTAAAAGACTTGCTTTACAGTCTACTAATCAACTTTACGCATCAATAGAGCCACGACTGACCCTACATGTCCATAAATTGGGGGATATAAAACATCTTCAGTGCATCAGGGGTAGTTCACAACGTAATCCGAGGGTTCCATAACAGCTGGCCAAAAGAAGAACGTAACGAAAGCGTGAAAAGAAGAAATAGATTCAAAGGGGTGTTCTAAGCTCCCTCACGACTCTTGCGGTAGCTAGCCTGCAAGACAAGTCAGTTATAAACACTTCCAAAACGACGGAAAAGATCATACCTCTTGTTCAACCTGTAAGCCATCAACCACAGGAGCCAGCTCGCTGAGGATTTCATAAGCCCGCTTGTGGAACTCAAGCTGGGCGGCGATCAAGTCCGCCAGGTTTCTCAAAGGCTCAGGAGTGTCCAGAACCTGGTAGACAGTTAGCAAACTTCCCAGCTGCACCTATAGAATTTACAACTCACATTCTTCATGACGCTCACAGCCTCCTCGGTCTGGCTGACGAACTCATCTTCGGCTTGTTCGATCTCCTGACGGGCCTCCTCGCTCAAGTTGTCCAGATCACCCCTAGCAGCTGCCTTCTTGCTAGCCTTGACCGAGTCCAGCATAAGACGGGCGTTCTCGACATTTCTGCGCGCCTTGGCCGCAAACAGGAGGTTGGTGTTGAGGGTCGTGTTCCACCCAGCGAGGAAGCGCGACTGGATCTGTCCATCCTGCGACAGACGGGCCTCACCTACTTTCTCCGAGGCTAGCGCATACTTCTCCAGGGCAGTGGCCAGAGGATCCTCGCCGGTGGAGCTCTGCGCCAGAGTCTGAGATCCGGACAGAGAGGCACGGGCAATGGCATGGTTGAAGGTCTTAGGCTGAGGCTTGGCCGAAGGAGGGGCAGTCAGGGCAGCCTGGGCCTCCGCAGGGGAAGAAGCTTGAGATAAAAGCTGAACCTTTTCACCGATGGTCCGGCCCAGGTCGTTGAATGACTCGCGAATGTTGGGTGGGTAGTCGTAGGCCTCGTTAGAGTACTGCGAGCTGTATGGAATTGGTCAGCGCTATTTTCATGGGAAAGCAGCAGACCCTTTCTGGGGGCTTTTCAAGACCTGTCACTTACGTCACCTGAAGGAGCTTCTGGTGGACCAACTTAAGAGCGTCCACGCGCTTCTCAAGCTCAAGATATTCATCGGGAAGTTGAGTCTTGTCTTCGGCTTGACCCAACTGCTCTTTGATCATCTGCTGCGTGCGCGCAGCGAAAGGCGAAAAGCTCGCACTACCCGCAAAAGCAATATAAGATTAGAAACATGTCAGCAGAGGGCTTTAGATGTTGAGGACTATCACGGGTGGAAGCGACAATTGAGGGGGTCGGGATAATAGCAGCCTCAGAAGTCGTTTCATCTCACCTAAGGTTCTTTCCGAACGCCTGCACTTTGTCCATACTGCAAGTCAAGACAATACAACTGAAAAGGGATATTTCGGGAAGAAAGATGACTTCAGGAGGGCAGAAGTTGTCCTTAGGCAGAGCACGAGGGTTTGTTTGGTTTATGAGCGCTGGCAGATCACGGATGCACGCTCACCGCCTTGGATGAAGTTCAGGGCACCGCCACGTTTCACAATAAATTACATTGGATTAACTATAGTAACTAATGTATGTAGTATGTACTAGGAGTATGTCAATCTGGTTAATGTGACCCATCCCTGGTATCAACCTGCAATCATCCTTCACAACCCGAAATCACAGAAGAAGACAATGGCAACAGCACAAATCAAATCAAATCAAAACCAAAA